CAATTCAACCAGCAGGGTTTACAATGACTGGAAATATTAACATGGGAGGTAATAAGATAACTAATCTTGACAATCCTACTAATCCAGGTGACGCTGCTAGTAAGAGTTGGGTTGAATGTGGTCGTAGACATGTACATGCTAGTCTACCCGGTCTTATCCTTACAAATGATATCAATATGTCAACTAATGAAATAAAGGCTTTGGGTGATCCTACAACTGAAAAGTCTGCTGTTAGTAAGGATTGGGTTAGTGGAATGCTAAATAGACCTGTAACTGGACTTGATATTGCTGGTGATATTGACATGAAGAACCATGAGATTAAGAATCTTAAGGATCCTTCTGAGGATAAGTCCGCCGTTAGCAGGGAATGGTTTAGTACAAACACTAGCAACTTTCTTAAGCTGTCTGGGGGTAATAATCAGTTTGTTCGGGGTGAAGTTCTGTTTGATAAAACACCACATACAAGCGAAGAGGCCTCTACTTCAAGTGGTCTTGTAAATAAACATCTCATGGATAAAAAACTAGCCTATTACATTCATCGTAATGGTTTAAATACAATGACAGGTAATCTTAAAATGGATGGACATGAAATAGTAAATGTTGGCGATCCCACCACCGATCAGTCTGCTGTTACAAAGTAATGGTTTAAATCAAATGATGACACATACCTAAGGTTGGACGGAGTCGGAACCGGGAAAGTCAAAGGTACTGTCCACTTTAAAAGCGCACCGTTATGTGATAACGATTCTAGAAGCCCCCTTTCCCTCATAAGATTCGACTACCTAAATAGAATACTCGGAAACTACCTACTCATCAGCGGATTTACGGAAATGAATGGTGACCTTAAAATGGGTGGAAATGAGATTAAAAATGTTGGAGCTCCCAGTGCTGACGCATCTGCTGTTAACAAAAAGTGGGTAGAAGATAAAATTAGCGGTGGTAGGAAAAGGCGAGAAACCTACAGTGGATTGACCCTATCTGACGACCTTGATATGGGCAACAATGAAATATTAAAGTTAGGTGCTCCCACTACTGATAATTCTGCTGTGTCTAAAAAATGGGTTACGGACCACGTTAGTGGAAGTTATATTAGCAGTAGTGGGTTTACTATGACAGGTAATATTGACATGGGTGGGTATAGTATTACGGGTCTCAAAAGTGGGTCGGTTGGGGACACCGCAGCACTTTCCGCTAAGAGTATAGACTCCTGGGGTTTGCAGTTTTTGAAACGTAATGGTGGTACTCTAGATAGTGATCTTGATGTTAACGACTATGAGTTAACTGGGGTAGTTAATCCAACAACTGACGGTTCTGCTGTAAATAAGAAATGGGCAACTGATGAGTTCATGAGTAGTCGAGGTGGACTGGTAAAGGGTGATTTGGATATGGGAGATTCAAGTGGTATTCTTGATCTAAGGGATCCCGTGAATGATAAGGATGCAGTTAACAAGCAATGGGTGGAAAATAATTTCCTGAAATCTTCCTCAGGTCTTGTCCAAGCAACAGCTGATAATAGATATGTAAGGAAAATTCACCATATTTATTCACAGTGGATCTGGGGATATCGGGGAGTATCAGTTGCAGCAACAAGGTACTATGCTTACTGCCAAGATCAAATTCCACCTTCATGGAGAACAGAAACTATTAACAATCTAACGTACCTCAACCTTGAGTCAATTACTATTAAATCAGATTCCCCACTTCTTTCAGTTGTTACTAACGTACCACTGGAACTCATCCTGTGGGCTACTGTATGGGAAAAACAGTCCAACGGAAAATTTATACAAGCTAAAAAGGAAATTGTTTTCGACACAATCGACTTAAGAAGGCTATCATACACTTACTTCAACGGAACTTACACAAGTAATGGTGGAAGTACAGCTTGCTACGTCTTTAAGGGTAATAGTATGTTCTATTTAGGAAACCAAGCTGAGTTGGTAGATAACACGCTAGCCTGGTGTGTCATCGTTAAACCAGAACACTCAATGCCTACTGGTATGAGTATGGACCTGTCTTTTTGCTGGTCATTAAAGTATTCATAGATAGGTGGATAACATGTGTTGTATCATAAAGTATCATGTCAAAGTGGCGCTCATGCTTCTCCTGTTTGGGTAATATCTGTGGCTGTCGTAGGAGGTCTAACAAAAATGGGAAGGTTGGTGATATAAATTTCTCTGTATCCAATGATATTAAGGTTGAGGTGACCACACAGGATAAAAAGGATGACGCCAACAGTGTATCCGGACTACAAAGGCCCCCTGCCTTGTGTACCCCCAAGGAGAAAATAAAAGATGTCGAAGAGGCTCTAGAATAGGAAAATTGGATGATATTGGGAAATCTAGAGGTTTGAGGGTTTGGGAATCCCTGGTATTTTGATAGAAGAGAACGGTGAATAGTTGGAACCTGAGTGTGACAACCAAAATAGGTATTGTGGAGGATGTAGGAAGTATTAATCAGTGCTCAGAATTAGTATCTGACAGTTCTGTGGAAGGGGGTGTGTGTTACCTCAAGGGTGTTTTAAAAGTTGTCGAAAAGGCTTTGGAATAGGAAAACTGGACGATATTGGAAAAGTCTAGAATCATACGAAAGTCTCAGCTGGACTGATAAGGTGATCCCGAAGCTTTGAGATAAGTTAAATGAAAAACATTTCGGACAGACCTCAGAATAGTAGTTTCACATTCCAAATAAATGGACCGTGGTCTCGGGAACACTCATTGAGGAGCGGGACCATTAATTTTAATATAATAAAAATAAATGATTAATATAATAAAAATAAATGATTAATTTTAATATAATAAAAAATAAATTATTAATTTTACCAAAGGTAAAAAATTAGTGGTCTCGAACCGAAACTAGTGGTCTCGAACCGGCAGTTCCTATACTACTGGGAAGTAAATTCGTCGTCGATCACGACAGTTTCGACATCATTTTCCTCTGCGCTTTCGTCAAATGTGTTTGGACCACGAGGTCGCTTTGTCGGAATGATGGCTTCGCCTTCGGAGTCGGCAAAAACTTCTGCTGTCCGTTTAACACTTGCAGAACCCGTTTGATCGTCAGATACTCCGGGATTTATCTGATTGTTTAACATACCCGTTTGATCGTCCGATACTCCGGGATTTACAGTTTGTATTGGGTTTGAAACTGCCCTATTTATATTGGAGTCATCTTGACTTTTATTCAACTGTGGGCCGATATTCGACAATATTGGCGAGGATAACATGGAAATAAAGCCTCGATCGGCCACAATAGCCTGAACGAGTTGACCGGGATTAGGATGCATACCTTCAACTTGACTTTCATGGTTGGATGCTTCGGGATGTGAAGGATTGTCTTCAATTCCCGACGCTACAACAATTTCTGGCTCTGCCATCATCGAGGAGTGAACAAAAAAGACGCCAAGGAGATCCTGAGCCAGCGGTTTGAGAGGACATGGTGATGGATACGTTATCTTGTTTTGTTATAGTTAGACTTTGAAGATTCACTGTTATTTTTGAAAAGGAGTGATTTAATAAAGACAATGCATTGTTAAATTGGGGCGAGTATCTTGAAATATAATTGGCATTGCGAACACATGTAATTTGCCTATAAAACTGAATAAATATAAGAAAGAAGTTCCCAGTAAAATGACAACCACAAATTTTCGAAGAACGAATTTTATCTGACAGTTTATCTTTTATTAATAATGTAATCTACAATTCTCTCCATATAACTTCGAACTCAACGTATCAAAAAGCGCTTTATTAAATGTTAAAAATATTCCATTGCCATTTTATCAAGGACGAAATCGATCCCTTTAATTTGTGGGTTTTTTCATTCTCTATTACTGTTTCAAGGTGCTCGGAACTAAAAATTCGCGAAAATATCGTAAGAAGCTAGAGCAAAATAAAAAACTCAAAGAAGGTCGAAAATGAGAACAAGAGGACGGTTTAATACACGATTTAATCGCGAGAAAAATTAATTAAAATACACGATACAGCGAGAGAGATTGTTCTATTTATATTAATTTTTATCTTTTTTTTACCAAGGTTTTTGGCTTCCTGTGGCTCCTCGCACGACATCAAAGCCATTCGTTCTTTTACCTCCAGGTAAATTGCTTAGTAATATTTCAAATCCGAGTTAGTGTTTTAGACGTGGTTTCTAAATACAAGTGTCATGAACAATGGCGAGACGCAGCCGAACCATTGTTCATGGCACTGGGGATTTGGAAGCCAAGTTTAAAACACTAACGAGGCAATCAATTTCATAGCAATGAGGCATGAAATTATTAGATATTCAAAAAAGTGAGCGTGGGAACGATTACATTCGCTTGAAAGTTTGCATGAAGTGTAACGAAGCATTCAGTTCGCTTTCGTCATGAATAGATGAATTTTGTTGGCAAAGAGCATGGCATCTTCTTATAATATAAGAAAACGCGGTTTCGAGAACCAGAAAGTGTTGAGTACAGTATTGCAAATGTAAGGAAAGCCAATCGCTGACAAGGTTGGAGATCCAAAAAACGATATGTCAGATTGCGTGTGCGATAAGGCGCTATCTGGTGGAAAATGGAAGAGCCGAAGTGAATAAAAATAAGACGGTAAACATTACTGGTAAGTTTAAGTTTTTGTAGTGTTTAAAGCACTGTTCACTATGATAGTTGGTAAAAAAGTTGATTTTCCTAGATTTATGTAGTTTTCATACGTTCAGAAAAAGTGTTAAATGTAAAGTGTAGTTACAAAAAATTTCTAAGTACAGCTTACTGTATTTAGAAATAATTCTGAAAATAGCAATTAAATATATTTGCATAATCTTTTGTTTACCCATCAATTTCCCTATTGTTCAAAGCCCTTCCCACTTGAAGTAATTAAAGTCCTGGTCTAGACGGGGTATCCAGATAGATACACGTGATATAAATTACACCATGTCACTGGCCGAAATGCTATGAATATCTAATGATGTGTGAGAAATGTATTTCTTTACTAAGTATTTCTTGTTTCTGGCATTTTCCAGAATTTGATCTCGTTTCTCGTATTTTTCGGAAAAATACTCGGCCAAATTATGTGTCAAACCATTCATTAAGGTATATATTTAAACAGTGGCTCACCAGATTTGGTAAATTCCAATACATCAAACACGTATTATTGATCAATTAAGATGACTCGATATATATAGCAAGCCATTCTTTTGCTTTAACTCCAAGGAAACGAAAAAGCTGACAGAATTGTAAATATATTAAGAAATAGTTTGACTTAACGGTAATTTTATCAATTCTATTTTTTTGCAACCAGTCTCGGAATTGGAGCTAAACGAAATAATTAAATCATTCCTAAAACAGCGGCTGGCTGGGACAAAATTCCAATGTGGGCCGTTAAGGTTTCATTTGAATATATTTGTAAACCTTTAACTCATATTGTAAATTTGTCAATTGAATCCGGCATAGCTCCCGACCAGATGAAAATCGCTAGAGTTGTACAATCTATTCTCAATCTATTCTCCAATTATCGACTTATATCGGTTTTGCCAATATTTTCTAAATTACTAGAAAGGATTGTGTGTATTATTCTGGATTTCATGAACAAAAACAAAGTTCTGTTTAATAACCAGTATGGCTTTAGAAAAGACCATTCGACAGCTTTAGCACTTCTGCATCTGGTTGACAGTATAACTTCTTCTATTGATCAGAAGAAATTCACTTTGGTATTTTCATCGACCTTTCAAAGGAATTCAACACTGTAAATCACAAGATATTGCTCGAAAAATTGCAGCATTATGGTATCCGTGGTTTAGCACTCGATTGGTTAAGAAATCATCTTAGTGATAGATACTAATTTGTTGAATACAATGGTATTCAATCATCTTCTAATGAAATTAAATGCGGTGTTCCCCAAGGGTCAATTCTTGGACCACTTTTCTTCTTGTTGTATATTTCTCATAATGATCTTTCGTTTATGATGAATACAATTAATAGTCAATTGCTATTCAAAAATCTAGTAATATGATTTTCAAAACTAGGCAAAAGAAATATATACCGGAGTTTAGTATAGAAATTAATAATACAAAAATCAAACGGGTTAATGAGGTTGTTTTCCTCGGAGTTGTTCTCGATGAAAATTTATCTTGGAAACCTCATATTTCACATATCTCACGTAAAATTTCTAAATCAATTGGAATAATTTACAAATCTAGTTTTTTGCTCTCTAAATCTTGTTGAAGGACTTTGTACTTTTCATTAATCTATCCGTACTTGCATTATTGTTTTTTGGTATGGGGTTCAACTTATCAGTCTAACCTTGAACGCATCGTATTGCTTCAAAAACGTGTAATCAGAATAATTAATGAGAAGGAATATGATGCTCATACTTCTCCTCTATTTAAAGAGAGTGTGATTCTCAAACTGAATGATATTTATCTATTCTGCTTGGGAAAATGTATGTATCTTTAGTAGAGATTATAAATTTATGTATTTATGTATCTCCTAGCTGGCTTTAAGAATTTGTTTTTGGTAAATAGCGAGGTACATAGCTATAATACCAGAAGTTCGAACCTAATTAGTGTACCATTTTGTAGAACTAAATTACGACAATTTTCTGCCTACTATCAAGGTCCAGTATTTTTTAACTCCTTGGACCAGAATTTACGGAAAGCCATGTCTGTCTATTCTTTCCAATCGAATCTTAAAAAGCATTTAATTTTCGACAATTTGTCTGATGATTGTAACTAAATAGTATCTAATTTACATCTAGGTGTGTGGATGGTATCTTCGTTTTGATATTATGTGTGTTCTTGTATTATATTAGTTTCCTTGTTATATGACTGCTCACTATTCTACCACATATATATTTAGGTAACTTTATTCTTTAATCTTTGACATGAGGTAGTCTAGCAATTAATAATCCTCGGCTTCCAGTTGCACTACCTCGTCACAATTCTTCAATTCTCGTCTCTTCTATAATATTATACGTTTGTAAATTGTTGTACTAATCATTTGTGCCAAAATTAAATCAATCCATCCAATCAAATATTTAAATTGTTCGAAACGTATTCCAACTAAAACATTAATTTCTCAATTAATATTGCATTAATTAAAGTAATTAAATATTATATTCCAAAATATAGGTTGGCAATAAAATTTATATATTTTGTTTAATTAACAGGTCAATATCCTGACTGTAATTTTACCCATGATTTATGCGGGTGGGTGAATAAGAAAATGCTCCGTTGGAACGTTGATACATCAAAATTGAAATATGAATTTGTAGGCAATATAACTGGAAGACAAGGTGCGCCATAAAGAATTTTTGTAAATTCCGTGTTACCATGCATGTCATCCACTAACTGGATGTGTAGTTGTTCTGTTTGTCCATTTATTTAATAAATTAAACGTTATTGGAAAATTGTTATTATACAAATATAGAAATGTTATTGCGAATTGGCCTTACTGGCGAGTGAAAAGCGTCTATATTTTGTAGTACTATTTATAACAGGTAACATAAAAATTAATAGTATAAGGTATTCTGCAGCCTTCGGATTGGCTCTCTACTGGCAGGATATTATATAGCTCATATCCTGTTGGTAGAGAATACAACTAAGATGGCGGTTCAAGAATTACCGTCGTTTTGCGAATGAGAAAATAGGAAACTTAAATCCAAATAAAAGGCACTTTCAAGCATTTCACTGGTGTTCATGGTCTAAGCATGCTCTCGTCCTGCCGTTTCTTTCAATTGAGGTAAAATGGACATTTCCTAAATTGTCTTGGTAAGACACGAGCCTGAACGTGAGGATGACAATACGGACGTAGTAAATTGAACAATTTTTATTAATTTTTCCGCCAAGCTGAATTAGTTCATTCTATTGTCCCAATATATAAAAAAACAATAATTTTGTTTATAATGGCTACGCCCTAAAAATATTTTGACACGCAGTAAGGCAGTAGCTCTTTAAATTTTGGCCAAAACAACCTGACATCCATGATCGAGCTAGGCGCTAACTAAGATAATTAGCCCTCCTACTTGAATCACACCAATCACCGTTTTGTTTGCAATTAATTAACTGGAGTACTCTGGACATACCAAATATCATCAATAATTGTTTTAAATTCAAATTTAAAACATATTTTGATACAACATGCATGCCATTCATACAGGTGCCGAAGATGGATTTGCTTTCGTCCAACACACAGGCCGGTTCGATTTTAGTAAAGGCAGAGTAGCAATGCTTTTCAGCCATTTTCTAACTGGACCAGTCTGTATGAAATTCTATTTTTATCTATATGGTAAAAATAATGGACTCCTGAAGATCCGGACAGCACATGAAATATCGGGAAAAGAACATGGAAACGAAGTGTTGAAACTATATGGAAGTCATGGTTATAAGTGGAACTTCGCGCAGATTTATCTTGATTTTGCTCCAACTGATATTTACCAGGTAAAGGTCCATACAGACAGGACGGGATTTGGCAACGCAACGCAAATTTTCAATTTTCAATGACATTTAATTTCATTATTTTTCTATGTTTTTCAAATATTCGGAACCACTTAAGCAATTTTATTTTACTTTTTAGTTTCGCCATATTACAATACACAAAACTATAACAAGAACAACTATAATATACATGACTATAGGCAGGGTGACCGCAACAGCGTGAGCCAATTACTGCGGACCCATTTTAGCTATTTGGACTGCATATCTTGTAAAAATTTTATCCGTTGACGGTTTTTTAAGCCCAGCCTTGTTCATGCGTAAAATCGCCGCTTGGTGGAAGCCAACATAACGATTATCATGTCCTATGAACACTAAATGTGCAAATGAAAGAAATTAAATAACATTGGCTGAAACATGACCCTTTAACAACTCAGCCCATGCTATCTATTTTGTTTGGTTTGCATACTGTAAACACAAGATAAAATTATAAACTGCACTAGTACCTCCTATACGGGGTAAATGTTTAAATATTTTTTATTTACTTGGCAGGTTATTATCAAAAGCATAATCAATGATTTTGATATGCGAACTAATGTTATTGCTATAGACGATGTCTCTTTTTCAAACGAAACATGTGAGCACTTGCCTCAAGGTTAGTTAGTATTCTTTCTTAAAAATGAAGAAAAATGGAAAATATGAGTAATGGCATTATTGATAATTAGCCATCAGCCATCTTGAAGTGTCATTCTTGTCATAGCAACAGCATTTGCCTGGAAGTAAGATAGTAGTTAGAGAAACTGACTAATCTAGTAATTTCCAGCACTGCTTTGCGATCATTATATCTCCGTTTCCACTACTACATGTTCATGAAACAATAGACCTTACCGATTATTCTATTTTACCCAATAGCCTCGTTTCCATGTTAACTTATCATGCATGTCAGGGGCAGATAAAGATTATATTCCCATGTTTTCCTGGACGAATGTTTCTTGCTGTTCTTAGGTTCAATAACAAAGTAATTTCCAACCTTATTAAGCACAAAACATGACTAAATATTTGACACGAAAACAAGACCATCGCGTAAAAAATGAATAAACGGTAAGGTCTATTTCATCACCAACATGTTGTTTTATGTCTAATTTTAGATAGCCGTTTCAACTGCTCGTTTGACAATGGCTATTGTGGTTGGAAATTGAATGGTACAAAACGAGTTAAATACGACAAAGGTGGAAATTACTTACTTATGTTTTATCACAACTCAATGTTGAGGGAGTTTTGTTGGCGGAAATTTCAAGCAAAAATTAACTTATACCTAATGTTAAAATTAATGTAAAAAAGTTTTATCACTGCACATTTTTGTGCAAAGGTTAGCCGAGCAGAAGCACACCCTGAAAATTTCTAAACATACCTGTATAATAATGTGTAACCACAAAACAGGCTACAATTGATATTCAAAAATTGATATTCAAAAATGCCAAAACCAACATACACTGCACAGCGCCCGGAATCGCCCAGGGCAAAATTTGACTTGGGGACCCTCGTGATTCCATCTTCTAACACTATGTTAGGGGGATCCAAGGGCATTCTTTCCGCGAAAATTTTGAAATCTGAGGTCCCAGAAATGGCCAAATACTGCATTCTGGAAGTCTAGTTGACAGTTATATCTATGTATATTTCACAGTAGTTCTTTATTTGGGCCCTCCTTTAACAGGAGCCAGAGGGCAAATTGCTCCCTCCACCCCTCTATGCGTCCTTGATAGCACTTGCAGTTAGGATTATCTATGCCAGCATAGTTAAAAATCACACGCTTGAAGAAAAGAAATATTTTCGTCTTGGAAAATTAAAGGCGGTTTGGGGGTGACAAACTTCTAAAGGAGTTACAGGGCATGTACCCACAGAAAATATTTTCATCTAGTATCCTTAAAATAGCATTTCTGGCAATGTGCGGGGGCATTCTATAGAATTCTGAACATACATCAATTACAAAAAGTCAAGTATCATTCACTCCATCATCCAATCTCATAAAGAGTTATTTGGCGAGAGATTTTGTTATATAGGTATAAGTATAATATTAGTGCGGACGTTTGATAATTTGGCAGCTTCACTTTCATTCAAATTATTCTCATTCAAAATGTTTTGATTTGTTTTGTTTTGTTTTGTTTTGTTTTGAAGTGTCAAGATGATTTTTTCAGTTCCGAGTGTTTCTGGTCATTGCCTCATATTCTTGTTAATTAAAAACTTATCACAGCAAATTTTATCACTTTTAGCATTTTGCATTTTATCACTGCACATTTTATTTTTATCACTGCACGGCAAATTGGTTATCACTACCTACTAAAATTTGGTATGAATTAACCAAGTTCACACTGTTTACAATCATAAACTTCACTCGAAATTTTCTACCAACAAAGCCTTTTAAGCATTCTGTTCTATCGAGTTCTATCACAATTTTGTACTATACTTTAATCATGTACTGTATTTCATTTTTTTGGCATATTCAGGACTGAAACAATATATCCCACTTTTCGATCCTAAACAGCAAGTGATTCTTCAAAGCCCAAACGTATTCGCCCACAAAGCTTGCTTTACTTTACAATACTTGACTAGCCGTTGGACAACGTTGGATGAATCTCGGATGTTTATATATGTTAAACAGGCCAGTGGGGGTCAGTTGATTCCTGTGAATGATAGACTGCTTTATTACGGCCATTCAAAATGGAATACAGTCACGGTTCAAATTGAAACTGAATTTGTACAGGTGAATTTTTAGTTTTTTCTTTATTAGAAACTCCAGCTTAGAAACTATATTAGCTCCATTATTAGCTCCTTCTTTCTGTTAACAACATAATTTTTCCCACTCTTACTAGAAATACATGCATGCAGAAACCGCTCGCCTTGCTGGAAAAACTATTATATTTTCCGAACATGAAGTATTTGGAGTAGTTGTCATGGTAACACGATAATTTATTAAGAATATTTTAAAATTGAAAAAAGCCGTAAAAAATATCACTTATTTTACAAAATTATCAATTTCCCCAAAATATATACGTTAAGCATGTTATTATACGCAATATAAGTATAATTTAATGTAGCTAAAATCCAATCACAAACGCTTCGCAAAACGTTTTAAATTAACATGTTCTTTTAAAACTAAACTGCCTTTTATCGATAAACCTTGAGTTTCAAATAAAATAATTACAAATTAAAATCTCGCATGAATTTAACTTTGCTTTCATCTTTATTTAAGGATTTTCATATATTAAAAAAGAGTAATAATAACAGTACACTGAAATGATGGGCTGCCTTTTTTCAATATACGTAATTAATTGCGATCAGTTTTTGAAGCAATTATATTATTATAAAGGAAAGAATACATCAGTATTTAAAACAAACTTACCTTCATGGAATTTTACGATTTCCAGCAATCTATTGTCCCGAACTTTTGTTATGAACAACTAAAATGTTTGGCTGCACGTCTCATTAACGATTTTTTGGGTTTCTGAATAAACATCGGCCTCGTACCAAACGTCGTAGCAAACGTCGGCGTCTTTGCTCCCTTCTTTTAGCAAATCCTTTTTTCGCGTCTTCTTGCTGGTTTTCGTTTGGTTTTATAATTTTTCTTTAATATTTTATTTGCTTAAAACCGTATAAAAGAATTATTATTAAAAAGCAGATATATTTTCAAATAATGTCTCTTATTACGATGTCGTAATGCAGTCATCATAAAGCGAATTTAGATTTGACCAATCAGTGTTCGCCATTATTTCCATGACCGTCCGCCATATTTTCGAGATTAGTGAGAAGTCCACCCTTGTTGGATCAGTGGGAAGTCCACCCTGGGATCGACGCCCGTGATGTTTGATGAACTTCACATGCACTTCGCTAATCTTTCTTTTAAATAGCCGAACACGCCCGGAACGGCGCTCCGCGCAGGTGCAACATTTTTCCGTAGACAGTCGGACTCCTCATTGATAGTTGGACGCATCATTGACCCGCGCCATTAAGCAAAGCATTCAGCAGATACTCTTCTTATTAGATGCGCTTCCCAGTGTGTCTTTCGCGCGCAACTAGCGATTTCAAAATATCAATTACTTGCTTGAGATGCCAAAATCTGAGCAGGAAACATTGTGGCTTCATATCTTTTGTGGTGTTGACATCTGACATACTTATTAAGTTATACTCGCCATTCCCACTTGCTTTTCTTTGCTTTTGCAACTCTTTTGGAGCGATTACAGAATACCCGTCCATTTTTTAAGCTATGCCTTTCAAACATCATGGATACGATGTATTAATACATCTATATTTATACTGAATTATTAAAATACCATGGGGGTAAAGGTAGCTACGAGGTATACAGGGACTTAACATTAATTGATTAAATTGTCACAGTGTTAAAGGTAGCTCTATATTTTAGCGGATAAGTGGATATGCTGTCAAGTAGTTATTTTGAGAACGAGGTATACAGTTAGATTAGCATTAATACAGTAGATCAAATTCTGTAAACACTATAGATAGCTGCATGTTTTAATGGATACGTGGATATACGCAGTCAAGTAGTTATTGTGGCTTTGTGCTTTATAAAACTTATCCTTGGAATGTTTTCAGGCATGATTCTAGCGTAATTGAAGAAGTCATCTGACAATCATTTTTGGAGACAAGACCATTTTTTCTCATGCTGACGTCCGATTTTCGTCTTGGAGGCATATTTTTTAATTCAACCTTGCCCGATGTGGATATACACTTAAGGCAATTTTCCATTGCAGTCGCTTTGCCCGCGCAAGCATCATGTTCACCTGAGTACATTACACCAACACAGAAAAAATTCATGATTACTAGATTACATCGATATCGAAGGAACTAGACTCAGTTCCGAAATAGCACACACTCGGCCAACCTGCTACTAAATAAAATTTTTGTAGACCAAAAACTAAAACAAATTATGGAATACATACATTTAAGACAATTACATCTAAAATTTGGGAAACTATTGATTATAATATAAAAATGTCTGTCTCATGTCATGTATTTTCAAAACAATATAAATAAACATTTTTGTTATCGCAAAAATTATAATTTATGCATGTAAATATATTTACAAATTTGTCGTTGTCATGCAATTCAATATATCTGCTTAGTAATGACTAATGTATCATAAATAAACTATCAAATGCAAGGTGAAAAGCGGAGGGTGAGGTGACCATTTGATTTGTTACCCCGGCCTCCCTTTTTCACTGTGTAGGCAGTGGTCGACCCGACCACTGCGTACGGTTATGCTACTATATATTTTAATACATTGAAAGCTTTATTATAATATTTAATTTTTGATATAAGTTGTGTAAAATATTTGTGTACGTCGTGCGAATTTAATAAAATTGTAAATTATAAATTGACCGCGTAGCTCAGTTGGCAGAGCATTGGGCTAGCATTCCAAAGGTCGTAGGTTCGATTCCCACCGTGGGCAGGCATATTTTTCAAGGTTGCCCGGTGTGGATATACACTCAGAGTAGCATGACAAACATATTCACCTGAGTACATCGGACACCAACACAGAAAAAAAGAAAATTGGGATAGTAGTTCAATGCTGCCAACTGCAGAGCTACGAGGTCAAGTTAGTTTGTGTTCCTGATATTTAGGAACTAAGTCAACTTCCGTCGATATCAATGTATTCTAAGATAAAACATATGCAAATTAGGTAAATGCATTATTAAACATGCGTGATAGGCATAATTGTTGCCAAAAAATGAAAGTTTCAGTAGCTATTTAAAGGACTTAAAATTGAGTAAATTTCTGATATTTGGAACCATTGATTAAACACATAACAAGTTTTTCGTTTTTCCACGAACTCAAAATGCGTTTTAAGCTTTTAAATTCCGCGCGCAAGTTAATTTTCATGCTGCCAACCCACGCTCTGCAAAATTTATCTTTACAAAACATTTTTGTTTTTATACATTATAAGTACCCACACAATCTATATTTTAAAAAAAAAATCAAGAAATAACAACATTTGTGAAATTGAGAGCCGTTTCAAAATTGTCTACTTTTTCTATATACTCTGTAGTTATTCACTAATTAATGTTAATGTTAATGTTAAGGAAAAATGTGTTCCCTGGATTAACGCCGATCACTCTGGTCTTACTCACATGTAGGTTTTGATAGATTTCATTCTGGATAATTTCGATGTTGCAGTTGCCAATCTTAATCTAAACACGGAATTTCAAGGTTGTGACAGTGTTGGTAAGTTTGCCTTTATAATGACTTCGATTCGTTTGTATGCTTAGCTATTCAGCTTTCGAATGTCTCCAGATCACGCTATTTCAACTTATTAGCTGAAGTCATATTAGAAGACGGATTTCCCTCTGAGACAGGAAACGCGTTTAAGACTTTTAAGTCTTAAAAGTTAAAACTTTTAAATTTCCATCTAATTTTCCCATCTGGTCTCATATTTTTAATTCTTTGGGTTTATCCGTCCGTCACACGAGTTTCCTGTCTTAGACGGAAATCCGTCTTCTAAAATGAATTCAGCTAATGTGATGGAAACTAAAAGACTTGAAATAAAGTAAATACAGATACATTGTAAATTGTAATTGAGTTAATTTTATAATAATTTATGAATTATTAGAGAATGTAAATACAACTGAAACATGGCCAGAAATCCCGGACATAATTTATAATTCCAAAAGAAATTACAAATCACTTTAAAATATGGCTTCTGCAAACAGTAGATTGTACAATGCGATGAGGTAAATCGCAAAATCTGAGAATATGGTAGATCGTTTGCAACTTGGCGACATCGCTGGTGCTAAATCAACGTTTGTCGATATATCTAGTGTAATTTTGGCCTAGTTTAAGTTACTGTTTTTCCTGCTTTTTTGTTTATTCCTAGTGCGGTATTTTTATATAGGGTTAAATAGACAAATGTAGTTAAAAATTAACCTCTGCACAAATATAGAAAAAGCATGAACAGTAGCAACTTAAATCATGCTAATATTATTTACACTAAATTCTTCGACAGGGTTTGGTTTGCAACCAGCGATTGCGGCAAGTTGCAAAGGATCTACATATTATCAGATTTTGCTTTTACTACATCGCGTAGTGTACACTATAGACAATATACTATATACTATTGGAGCCATATTTCAAAGTGATATGCAAATTAGTAAGGAAATAGAATAAATTATGTCCGTGATTTCTGGCCATATAATTTTTACGATGTTTTTAAATATCCGCGATTGTTATTTCACACCCAGTTACAATAAAGAGTTAAATTAAAGGTTGGAAAAGACGCGACAAAGGAAAATACCATGAATTAGCATAATAGACGGCTTCAAATTCATGAGTTCTCCTGCGACATGAGATGCCTGCCAAATATCATAGATACCGTCGCAAAATAGTGGTTGTATGAGCGTTATAATGTTTCTTTGACTTAAATCTAATCCCATGTTGCGTTTTGTTGCACCATTTGGTGGAAACCAGCATTTCTTTTGCTGAGGTGAAATTATAATTACTACTGCCTTTTTATGATTACAGTGGAAAAAGCTTTTTTTGTATCGACAAAAAAGATCTTCAAAAAGGAATACAAAATCTTAAAAGATGGAAGATCGTGTGATTTATACCCGACATCATATTTTAGTGCTTACATTACACCGACCCCAGAATATCCTGTGCCTTTGTACATATATTCAAGCAAGCATCACATGACTCTGAGTGAGAGGAAGAACAATTCTTTTCGAACTTTAGTTGGATATTTTTATGTCAGCATGACGTGGCGTGCAAACACTTCAGCAATACATTACGATTTAAATGAAGATAAAAATGGGGAATATATATCGGAATTTGGAAGTTCACCTGACGAGGGAACATGGAAAGGAAATGTTGTGTATGTTAAAAAACATAAAATTTATGAAGGTAGGACTGATTCAATTATTGATTAATTTACTGCTGGATTGAAAAATAGACGATATATACTTGTTTATTATAAACGTTCACTGCATGATCTAACTGCATGATTCACTGCACGACTGAATGGTCGATTTAATGATTATACCATAGGTCTACCGAAACGCTTTTTTAATTAAAATAAAATTGCTTTAAAATACAATGCTTATATTCTTGCTTGATCAATATACATTACAACCTTACAACCTCTACAACCAAAGCTACACGGAATGATAGTTGTTGACCCGACGTTTCAAAATAAAGGTCTCTGATTGGCCAAGATTTCAACTGCAGCCTTCAGTCAAAGAGCTTTATCTTGTGACATCGGGTCGGCAATCATCATCCCGCATATCTTTTTTCTTGCCAACCTTGAGGAAATAATATACATAATGATGCATCACTACCTTTTCTGGAGACCTATGATTGTACGTCAAGATCTTTAATACGATAAAGATATCTTGAAGTATTACGGATGTATCCCAGGTAGAGTTTTCCAAACGCTATAGGAGCTGTCACATACAGTAGAAACATTCTGACTGGTAACTAATTACCGTTCCACATTTTGATATTTTGCTAAAAATAACTGAAAATGTATAGAACGGTTTATTACCAGAACAGTTTCTATGTAAGAGTTCCTAGTGTTTGGGAATGTCTGGCGACATCCGCGATACGTCAAGATCTTTAGCTTACTTTGTAAAATTCATGAATAATTAATAAGGCGACAAACAAATCACGATGCGGTAGTTAGGTCACATGTGCACACTTGTAAACTGCATTAAAGATCAGAAAGTCGTATTAGAGGGATGTTTATGAAAGTTAACAATACTAGTTGAGAAGCATTGAATGTTTATGAAATTAACAATACTAATTTAAGTTTTAATATCATTAATATAATGAGGTGTGAGATTGTCCCCATGGGCAGAGAATACTAATAAAGTAGACAAATAAATTCATCTTACAGGTACGTTAAAATACTCGCAACTGATCTTTATGAGCATTTAATAATCCATAAAGATCAGCTGCTCATATTTTATTAACTAGTACTTAAAATTTCATTATTTACTATCGAGACCGCTAAAGTGGTAAATTAATCTCTCGAGATTTGCACGCGCGAGATTTATTTTATGTACCAGGTAATGAACACCTCGTGACCCTAATTCAACGGTGTTCGTAAACAATCTGCGATGTTCTCGTGTAGTAATAGTAATACTTTTGACTATGTTTCAGAAGTGAAGGTAGAGTCGAGAACATTCTTGAATTGACACAAAATACGTGAATATTCAGGTCGTTTGGCTATTTATAGACTACAATAAAATATTCAGTAGCGTTAATATAGACAAGCAAACGGAGGTGTAAAATTGTGGTAAATACTTTTTCTTTACCTTAATTAATTTGTAGTTGTAAAACAGGCTTGGGCGTTTATAGTTCTTTTCAGAACTTTAGAATTACAATTCGCATAATCAAAATTTTATTTAAGCAATATTTCCTGTCAAAGTTAGTCAAACATCGCAGATTGTTTACGAGCACCGTTGAAAGCTTTAAAGCGGTCACGTGGTGTTCAAAAAGTTTATCACGTGGTACATAAAATCAGTCCCACGCGTGTAAATCTGGAGGGATGAATTTACCACTTTATACTGCGACTTCTAGCACATATTTAAAATCCGAACAACGCAAGAACGTTTAAGTCAGTGTGCGTTTCATTGTCTTTTTATTTGAATAGTTATCCACTTTTTACTGCCAAGCATTTTATCTCTGCATTCCTTCCTTAGATAACAGAAATTGTCCTCCCGGTCATCTGGGCGTAGGAAACAAATGTTTCTGGTTTCTGTGCAAGGACATGGAGGATATAATCAGATATCCTGAAGTTAGATGCTCAATGGATTTAAGCACTCTCGCTTCATTGGATGCGAGTGGCATAAAGCTTCTGGGGGAATATTTGAACACAATTCAAGTAAAGAATATAGAAATTACGCAACTTACTCTCGGGTTGTCAAGAAAAAATAAACAATGGATATGGAGAGATGGAACTGTGTACAATGATAGTAGCAGTAGATTGGGAAATGAAAACAATTTTGCCGTGCTTACGTGGAATGAACCGGGGAAGAAATGGTCACTCAAGGGTGTTCCTTGGTTATTCGACAACCTTCACCTCTGTGAGAGACGTAGAAGTATGTAAACAAAAAAGTCTACATGAAGCGACGAGCCCAAAGGCCGTTTTCCACTTCAACCGTATCGTACCGAAACGTAGCGTAGTTCTTTGTTCGTAGTGCTCAGGGCACTAGAGTGGAACTAATGACTTTATCACAAAATAAAATGCTAGATTTGTTAGGATACGTTTGAAGTGGGAAACGGCTATAATACATTCGGGCATTAAAAAGGAATCTTAACATAACCTACTTAACACACTGGCGAAATTTTGCGGCCGTAATTAAACTTATTTTATTTTATTTATTTTATTTTACAAGTTTGCCATTGCAATAGATCTACAGGGTGTATCAAAATAAACGCAATTCATCTTTTGTGCTTAATAACTTTCGACATACTATTTCTAGTTAAACGCTTTTAGGCTTACTTCAAAGCCTGTTCTTTTCTCTTTCACAAAAACTATTATCCTTGTCTCCAATGCTAGTAATAATTGCACAGGAAAAGATTTAGTAAAATCTATCATTTTTAGTTGCTGTTTAATTATGCATGTTTACTATGTTATTGTTTAGTCGGTTTAAATGTTAGAATTTTCTTCTTTAAACTGTAATGTTGTCGTCACTACATCTGGAAAACCACGTAAGAACAAATTAAAAGTATTTTAAAAGAGACCAGGTTGTTTGAAAATCCTAAACGAATGCTAAAAATCGTCAAAACGTTCTGGTGTCTGAGCCAGAGTGTCATCGAATTGCGATGTAATGTAAACAGAAATTATAGCAAGTTGATGTCAGTCAGCTTAGATGGTCCAAGCCAAAATTATATCGCATTTGAAGTTTCAAACTGAGTTAAAAATAGTGGAAGAAAAGCCGTAATTATACTTATTGTTACAATCCATTTAATAAAATGCAACATTTTTTTGTTTTAGTGAAAAAATCAGTTATTTTCATGAGAACGATTTGTTATTCCATCTCAATTTTTTTAATCTCCAATCGCAATAACGTAAAGTATTATTACCCGCGAACCAATGAGTCAAATTTAAGAAACAACCCACTGTTAGAAAGCTGAATGGCTACGCTTTAAAATGAATGTAAACTTTAACGTTTTCGTCTATTATTTGTTTAGCAATTTACATTTCAGTCGAGGATTGCGCTTTTTTTGATACACCCTGTATATAGAGTACTATGGTTACAAATGACTGGAATTTCCACACAGAGATAGTTTTCCAATAACGGGGTTCCAAGAAAGAACAACTACTTAATGGTATATCTAATTATTTTGAAATTAAAACAAACATAACAATTAAACACAAATACAAGAGACAAAGCAAATGTATTGACGAACAAACGAACAAAAACTAAATTTAGCAACATGTTCGAGTTGATAAGTTCATTAGTGGGCGAGTGGTGTGACATTTAATACACACAGACTTAAATGTTCTTGGATCTTCAGGGTCATAAATTTGTTGGGTTAATTCTACGTAGTATTTCATTAGACTACATTTAAATGCAGTTAGAGATGTGGTGGTATTTCTTATGAAGCCGGGAAGCGTGTTCCATACATTAACAGCGCTGATGTAAAAGCTGTTTTGAAAAGAAACAGTTTTACTTTTAACAATATGAAATTGGTCGAAGACCCGTAGTTTTACTTTTGGTTACATGAAGTAGGACGCCGTTAGTTGAACTAGTATTCCTTGTTTCTCGTGTAGGGATCCTTATAGATATGTTATTGTCAAAGTTATTTATAAGGCATTTGTGAAGATACGCCATATCTAAATACTCATGCCAGTAAAAGAGCCTCTTGGTTGGACTCTTAAAAGAGCCTCTTGAAAAAGCTCTAGCGCCATTAAATTGTGGCTGTACTTCAGTAAAGTTTAAAACTCGACTGATTTATGTAGATAGGATAAGATGTCATCCTCGCGACCCGCGCGTGGAATCTTCGTAGCTCGGTAAAATTACTGAAACAAGCTGTAGGGACACTTTTTTCTTTTTATCTGTAAAGACAACACGTCAATTCCCAGTTTGGGAAATTGGTACACTATAATAATTACTAATAGTTGCATTCTCAGCTGGCTATACTATGTCATTGCATATTTTCTCCTTTTCTACGTGACACTGCAATTGGTTTAACCAAAGTTATTTGATACAAAATTACTAACGATGCCCAGCACAACACGCGAGTTTAAATGTTTGTTCCGCGTGGTGAATATGTCATTTGTTGCATTCCGTTATATTGTATTATACTACCTGCTTGCATTGCAGAGAATTTTGCCTACGGTGCAATGAGTTATCAATCTACTACCAAGTCAAATATGTCGTCCAACTTGGCTGTTGATGGACTTCTTTATACTTGTAGTTTAACACAGCTACCAAGTAAGGTTAGTAAAATACTTGATTAATTTAAATTCAGTTAACATTGTAATAGACGTCAGTTAATACCTGTAGATGACAGCCTACAAGTATGCTGTAGCGGTATATGACTTTGCACGAGAAATATCAGTTATATACGCCATCCTTCGCGTACAGTTACGGTTGTGATTGGGATGAATACAAAAAGTAGATATCTTGTTGCGCAAAGGTTTTACCGAGAAAGACTAGTGTAAACCTGGTTTCCGTTTGACCGTCTTGACCAAGCCATGTTTGATGATGTGCAACAGTCTAGATCTATTCTGTTTTTTGTGTGCTAAATGACAACTAGACACTCTTCATTTGCTGTATAGTGATAATATCGACACTCTTACAATTAAATTATATATGCAGTGGTCCGGATCTATTTTGTTTTTCGTGTGTTCATTTATTTCTTGTATTCTCTCAATTTCAGCGCTCTCCTTATTCTTGGTGGAGAGTAAGATTGACTGAGAAAACAAAAATCTACATGGTGCAAGTGACAACCTCACTCGATGAAGACAAAAATGTCAAAATGATAATGAGTACCAGCTTACAAGAAGATGGAAGTTCCGCATACTGCGAGAAAGTAATCTACACCAACGATTTGAAGACAATAATAGTGATATGCGAGCCACCATTACCAGGTCGCTACGTAAGAATTGAAACAAAGGATGAGAGACTCAAGCTTTGTGAAGTAGAAATATTTGGCACTGGTAAGAATAATACATTTTATCAACAGAGTCACTGTCTAACCGACCAAGTTAAAGGCAGGATGGCTGCATCAGTGGTGTAGATATCTCTACGCTTGGCGAGCATCTCTGTTGTTTCATTTCAGATTCCTACGAAGACATCCAAGGAGTCATGCAAGCATATTGGGGAAAATTTCCAGAAACTACAGATCTCTCACCCTTATTGGCAAAACAAAAGGCCTATCCTGATAGTCCGTCCTATTCTCATCTTGTATCGTCGTTTTTACATATGAAGATGTATTCTCATTATGTCCGGGAATTGCGAGCGTACTTTCTGGTAGGTCTGTATTTGGATTTACAGTATAGCAAAATTTTTGTCGAAAGTAAATCAGTAGACAGTTTCCGAATTTCCCACCTGGCAATGAAAACTATTTATTTCCAATAGTTACATTTGGGCGGATAGCTGAATCCATGTTTGAATAATTGGCAACAATCACCTAGACATTGGAAAGAGTATTCGAAACAAGATAATTCTGAACTATTGTGCTTTTCCTACCATCTAGTGGCAACGAAGTCTCCGATTGTTCAAATGGTGAACTTAATTACCAGAAGAGAACTTGTTATCGCGTATAAGCTCACTCCCGCAGTAATATAGGAATATTGAGTATCCCATACACCAAATAGTTAGAATGCTACATTAACAAATAGTTAGAATATTAACACAAGGGATGAATGTCGTTTCCGTTAACAACAAACTTATTTGTTCTATATAGTTTGTTTTTCATTTTCCAGGCTTCAAGTAAAGGGAGCTACACGTTTACTCTGGCTGCAAATATAGAAGGAGAGATGGTTGTTACAAAATCAAGAGAGATAAACAACAACTTACTCTCATTATTGGTACAAACGAACCGAGCAACGTAAGTGGTTTTGGAAGCATTTGATGTTTGATTGAAGATTTAGAACTTTACCTTGCCTTGCTTAGTGTATGTACTTAGGATTGTAATCGACAAGTTAAATTAGCACCTGCAAATGGTTTTTAAATATATCACTGTAAAAACAGATTGATTGTCTCAGACGCATCTCTTTTCGACCAATTTTATTTGGTCAAAACAACCATAATATTGGTTGTTTTAACCAATTTTTGAGTTGTTTTAACCAATTTGTTGGTTGTTTTAACCAATAAAAATTGGTTAAATTAATGCGTCCGAGACAACCAATTTAAATTGGTCATTTCAACCAATCTGTTTTTAAATAATCTTCAAGAATTTCAACATTTACATTTTAGGGCCTCAGCGTCTGTTATACTAGACGCATGTCAATTTTATTTTGTAAAGTTAATAACGACGTACTATGACTACGAAAACACACTTTCTCTTGGAGTTCAATATGAAGGTGGTCGCTACGAGACTCCTATTCCTAGCAAGAATCTATTTTGGGCCGTGCCAGGTATGTGCGGGGTGTTAACTCTATACCACTTTAGTCATAACATTTTGTTGCGTGCAGTGTAAATGGACTTGGAGCTAGTTGCAGTCGTACTACAGTATGTTTGTAGTCACGATTTTGTAGTTGTTGCATGTAATTGTGTAAATACTTATTTTTATATATTTTTAAATTAACTTATAAAACACATGCAAGCGCATATACCACAACAGTTTAATATCAATTGCTATAAAAATGTAATATGTACGTATAGCCCCTTAAATATTAAAAATATATCTGTACAAATAATGGCACACTGAAGACACTAAAGGCTGTCAAATATGGCGCGTTTTTACTGTCAAAATGCAATAGTTATAAGTAGAACACCATGCAATGATACAAACCGAGCAACACTTACTCGAATAGAGCAGACTGATATGCAAATCGATCTATGATACATTGTGTGTGCACTGTCAAAAACGACATGCAGTTGCTGTTGAGTTGCAGTTGAGTTGTAAAGAACATTTATTAGATCTTGTACCTTGGAAGGGACGGCAACCAGCGCGCTCATAGTCACGTACCAGATCATCGGAAACCACCCTACCGCTGCTATACCAAATGTAACGGGATGCCGATGATCTGGGACGTTACTAATGAGCGCCCTCCCTCTTATGATACTTTCATATAATTCAATATAGAAATAATTTTTAACAACTTTTAACAATATTGTGTTGATTTGATAAATATGATTATGATAACTCAAACATTTACCACAGAATTGCCTTGTTCAACCTCAATTTTGTTTTAAAATTCAGGCCAACTTGATGTGAAGCTCCATCTCAACAAGAAAGATTCAACAACAACCGTTCCTATAACTTATCCCGTCAACATTACAGGTATTATTTAGAAAAATCCGATTTTCTCCGGTTAAATTAAAGATTGCATGTCCTGAGATAGTTAAACGTGATAGTAAACGGATTTTGTACAATTTATCTACCGGTTGACTAATCGCTTGGTAGGGAATTTATTCGCTGGACAGCGGATAAACTCTGATTAAGTTGGTCGTTTAACTTAATCAGAGTTTCGTACAACCGGCCCCAGAACAATATCAGAGAGGTTAAGATACCCCGGTTTCGGTGTACGTGTACGGGTAGCATGATTTTGGTTAGCAATATTTTCGTCGATATCTGTACCTTTACTCGTAATTAAGGTGCACATTTTTCGCATTATATCATTGTCTATTGCAAGAAAACAGAAAAAGTATGATCGAATTACAGACATCAGTAAAACAAGATGACACTACCCGTACCCGTACATCGAAAGCGTGGTATCTTAACCTCTCTAATAACTATAAACATGTGGGTTATCCAAGGATTGTGACGCAGAATAAAGACCATACAGAAAGCCGACTCAGCCAAAAAAGCGTAACTGCCGCCACGCCATGATTCGTAATGATTCGTCATCAAAATGCACTCGTTCCTAGCCAAGTGCGTTTGTTTGAGGCATTTACTCCCTAGAATATCCGCCATGTTCAATATATCCGGGGGTTGAGTGCCTTTCATCAGCACACTTAATTGCCAGTAACATGACGACAGCATTGCAACGGTTACCCCAAAATTATAGGCAAAGCCAAGAGTTCGGTCCTCCGTAAGGGTATTGGGTAGCAATGATGTAAACAAACGTTAAGTTAACCGATTTTCCATCCCTTCAACCGCATTTAAGAAAGGTAACTTGGTCTGTTACGATACCATTGTTAGTATGGCATATATGGAAGTGACCTCCCTGGCAGTTATGACTACGGTATCTTAATCATGACATAATTTTGTGCCGCAGGAATGTACAATATTGAGTGCCTGGGACTGTATTGTGGTGACTGCTCACTGGCAATTTTCCTATCATTTGCTGGTCATATCAAGTGTGTTACAACGTCCAGTATCAGTATTGCACAGAAAAGCGTGGTATCGCTTTTCGCGGAAAGCGTGTCAATCTTACCTGGTAGTAAACCAATATATGTAAGTCAAATATCTTACAACAACGAACAAGCTAAATATTTGGAATATTCGCACAGATTGAACGCTTCATGACGATGATTATATCTTTTTATTCATATCTTAATCTGCTACAGGAGTACTCTCTCACAACAACGATTTTCAGAGAAGTCCCACCACTCAGAATTTTATACTATTTGTTCTGGTGGGTTACAAGCCAAACGTTTCTAATCAGTCTCGTCACACATATTTAAAGCTTGTTACATTACAGGCCCACACTCTTACAGTAGTAATTACCTCTTCTTATTTTCTGAACGAAGTCTTTCCAAAAGATATTTATTTATTTATATATTTAACTTCGCCATTGTCATGCATTCATGGCAAGGTCACCACAACAGTATGGTACCAATTACTGTGGGCCCTTTAATTTTAAATAGATAATAAAACACAAGTAAAACACAACGAAAAAGATAGCACAACAACTCAATATTGTATACTACTTTTTGTTCTTGGTGGGTTACAAGCCAAATGTTTCGAATCAGTCTCTTCAGACATATTTAAAGCTCGTATCGTTACAGGTCCGCAATCTTACAGTAGTTACCTCTTCTTATTCTCTGAACAAAGTCTTTCCAAAAGATAGCACCACAACTCAGTATTGAATACTACTTTTGTTCTGATGGGTTACAAGCAAAACGTTTCGAATCAAACTCTTCACACATATTTAAAGCTTGTATCGTTACAGGCCCGCACTCTTACAGTAGTTACCTTTTTTTATTTTCGGAACGAAGTCTTTCCAAAAGATAGCACCACAACTCAGTATAGTATACTACTTTTGTTCTGGATGGGTTACAAGCCAAACGTTTCGAATCAATCTCTTCAGACGTATTTAATTATAAAAATAATAATAATCTGTTTAATTAATCACATTACAGTAGAGACTGAATTACATGATTATAAGTAAATACATTAAAAATTAAATTTACAAATAAAATTGAGTTCGAACCGTTCAATGTTCGTTCTGAATAGTCAGTTTAAATCTGTCCACAATTTATAATTGGGTACCTGAATATACACGAGTACTACTAAATCAATAATACATTAATAATTATACTTAACAGTTATAACATTTTGAAACCGTTCTGTGTTCGTTTGGAGTGACCAGCTTGATTCGGACCTAAGATTACAATTATGAGTAGTTGGATGTATACGAGTTGCAACAACATCCTTAAGAGGATTTATAGGACCATTGTCGAGCTTCAATTTCCGAATAAATTGTTCGCAGGAATTATGTCTACGTGTACTTAACCTTTTTAGACCGGTATAATTCAATGCGTCTCGATACGACATTTCGGGAAGCAAGATACGTAATGCTCTTCTCTGTATCAATTCGATAAGGTCAGACTGGCCTTGGGAAGGAAGAATATATAGTGACAAGGTCTTTATCGCTTAACCCAGCCTTTTTTAACTTCCGCAATGCATAGAGACTGGAATTTGCTTTGTTAATCACATAGCCAACATGATTACACCAAGATAGATCCTCTCTCAGCAGCACACCGAGCAGTTTAAAGGAGGATACAGATGCACTGGCGAACCATCTATATAGATCGCATTATCAAGTGGAAAGTGGTATTGGAGGAAGGATATTATCATCTCCTTACATTTCTTACTGTTAAGCTTCAGTCATCTACCTGAGGCATACTAGGATAGGTAGCCTGAGGATAGGTAGCCAGCTAGGAGAACAACGTGGAACAATTTCTAGTGCAGTAGCATCGTCTACAAACTTTATCCGCCCATTCCAGTCCTGTAAGATGGAATTGACTAAAATGGCAAAGAGAAGAGGCCCAAGTTTAGTTCCTTGAGGTAGGCCACCGTTAACGGGTTTCCATGAGGAAGTGGATGATCCGATTTTTACACACTGTTCGCGGGAGGTAAGGAACGACTTTATCCATCTTATAATGACAGGACTCACTTGTAATTTTAAAAGTTCATCAATAATGACATTATGGTCGAAGAGATCAAAACCTTTTTGGAAATCAGCAAAAAAGATTCTTACAGAGCAGTGGCCTTGATCTAAAGCAGCATGAATCACGTGGAGGAGATAAACGAGTGCCTGAGTGGTTGACTTTCCCGGAAGAGCAAATTGCTTTGGGTCTAATTTATGACCCACTTCCGACATGAGAGACTGTAGCATAAATCCTTCCATCTCTTTAGATACCTGAGCTGTGAGTGATATAGGTCTTAAATATCCTCAATAGTCTGAGGTGGTGACACTTTTGGAATGGGAACGACGATAGAACGTTTTAGCTAATCAGGGAAGACTCCCTGAAGCACTGATGTATTGTAAATGTCCATTACGACAGGGGAAAATTCAAAAGCAAAGGTTTTCAGAATCCTATTTGGGATACCGTCTTGGCCACGTCGCAACACTGAATAAACTTGCCCTATATTTACGAGTAGATGATTGGGAACTTCTGTCTCCTGGTCATCGGTGCATTCTAGCAAAGGTTTAAAATGCGAAGTAAGTCCAACAAGATATCCGTTATATGACACAGCAAGGTCCTCACAGGTGGGGTTTACTTCAGAAAGTAGTTGATGTACCCAAGATTCATAATTTAAAGCTTGTATCGTTACAGGTCCGCAATCGTACAGTAGTTTCCTCTTCTTATTTTCTGAACGAAGTTTTTCCAAAAGATAGCACCACAATTCAGTATTGCATACTACTTTTTGTTCTGATGGGTTACAAGCCAAACGTTTCTTATCAGACTCTTTACACATATTTAAAGCTTGTATCGTTACAGGCCTGCACTCTTACAGTGGTTACCTTTTCTTATTTTCTGAACGAAGTCTTTCAAAAGGATAGCACCACAACTCAGAATGTTATACTATTTGTTCTAGATGGGTTACAAGATAAACGGAGACTGCAACTCGACTTCAAAGATTAAACATTCAAATTTTACCTTTTCTGACGTTTTATCCAAAATTGGGCAAGTTCTTATAGAACGTAAGTATACTAAGTAACAAATGTGTTTTCTCGCAACACAACATGCAAATTGAGACAACGTTTACACTACGTCGAAGCGGTTTGAAATTGGCAGGGTAAAGTCACAATTAGCCGTCGCGTTCGTACTACTGCGGAGCGAATTGTTTGAAAACGCCCGTTTTGCTGAAACAATCTGGGCACGATTTCTAAACGAAGCGAAATAAAAACGGAGCGCTTGGTGGCTTCGTGTGAACAGCGGCACCGCCTTTATATTACTCCACTTTAGCATTATTTAATTATTTTTTACTTTGGCATAGTTTTATTATCATTTTATTATTAGTTTTTTATTTTTAAAATTGTTTTTATTATTTGAGCTCGTTTTTCGAATCCGTGCCGAAACTCTAACGGCTTAGTGTGAACCGACGTAAAACGTGGTGTCAATATTTCATTCCAATGTGAACTTAGTCTAACACCGATGTTCTCTGTTTTTCTTTACATATACCTAAAAGTTCAAATCTACAACTTTTAATCAACTCCCAGTCCTAAATGTTTCTTATGATTTTTACCTCAGCAATGACACTGACGGAGTGCCAGTTAAAGTGGCCAGATTTGTGTGAAGAAAATAGCACTGTAAATGTTCATGGATGGCGTGACGAGATAGACATGTCATACGACAATAGTACGTTCAATATTCTAGTATTTAAAATGTGCAGTGTCCATCAATGATATGAGGTGAATATTAAGAATTTATAAATCCTGATCCTTAAAGCCATTCGGCTTTTATTCAAGTTCCATAGTTCACCAACCGATTTAATTAACACATATTTGGAAATCCATTACTCCGTAACGAATGTTGAATTTTAGGTGTTATTATAACTGTGTATATTCAATATTACCCATAGGGCAGAGCCTGATTTGCTCAGAGAAAGGAAAATAAGGCTCTTTGTTTTCGTGTTTGATTTCCGTTGAACATGCTCTGTTACGAATCCGTAAAAACGTGTCAAAAATAGAATCCGTTGTATTCTTAGAATGCGTGGTATTTAGCAAAGATTAGAAAACTAATCGCATGCAGTTTTAGCTACAAGCGGAGCGCACACTGCACGTGTGCTGTACAATTATAGCAACAATTCCAATTTACAGTTAAACTTTGATAGCTCAGTTCAAACAAATGGTAATCTACTTACTTCGTGATATTTTTAACAGAGTCATCTCAGTTTGGGCAATAGATGCTTATGTTGTAATTTCACGTATTCTTTGATGTCTTGGTATTAGGAGAATTGCACATCTTGTCAAGTATTGGAAATACGACATCTTTCTTTTCGTACGAGTGGATTGATTACCACAGTTTTATCAGCATCACTGGAATATGTATGGAATTTCTTTATAAAATAAATGGTGACAACAACATTTTGGCAATATATTTCAAATCTTTCGCCGGGACGGAGAAGTTAGCTTGGAAGTTGCAAGGTAACCATGGCAACGCATGGAACAGTGGAAGAATTACATACTGGCCAAGCGAATCTCTTTCGGTAATAAGTATTTGGTGTAAAGTTGATAAAATTTTTAGTTCGTTGTTTGATTAATTTTGCTCGTGTTTTTTGTATGTTTGTTGATGATTGTTTATCTGGTGCTATCTTCCTTTTTTCTTTTCAATTTCTTCATTAATATATTTAATCTGTATTTTAGTTTGTTATCAAAGCTCAGACAATTCAACCAAATACAACAGTCGCTATAGGAAATATTTTAGTCACAACAGAATCATGCAAGAGCGATGTCCGTCCTATTCATGCTGATCCAGGTAAGACAAATGAAAAGCTCATCAAAGAATTTTCCTTCGTTTCCTGTCAGTTTTTCACTTTAGCATAAGACATATGTCAAACGGTGAATGGGATTTTATTTTATTGAATTGTTTAAACTATTATTTGGTTATAATGGGAAAATATAGTAGTACGTGACCTTATAAGATTGTAATTTATCGTGTAATATTTCCCATTTAGCATACGTATGTTTATCGTTTCAATTTCACTGTGCCAATGGAGAGTGTGTCAATGCAGATCTTGTCTGCGATGGAGATGAGAACTGTATTGATGGTTCGGATGAAATATTTTGTGAATGTCTTAATGACGAATTCAAATGCGAGCGATCTGGGGAATGTGTTGATGCTAGAAAGCTTTGTGACGACGTAAAGGATTGCGCTGATTCGAGTGATGAGCAGTACTGCCGTAAGTTTTGACTCTTCAACCTGCTAGTGGATTTCCTTTACGCATAAAATTCTGTAATACAAGTTATTTCCAAATGGAAAATTTAATTATTGAATTTATAAATTAACGAGTAGTACGGTATATGTTTCGTGGAATGGTTCATGTTCTGGAACTCGTTACCAGAACATTCAATATATAAATTATTGTTTCCTACTAGATAAAAGTTGCAAGGCTGAAGAATTTTACTGTCCTAGTGGTTTGTGTGTTCCTTGGAATTTGACATGTAATGGGGTTTGGAATTGCCCGGATGGAGCAGATGAACCATCTGTTTGTAGCATAGGAGAAGGAAGTAAGGAAATGTGATTCTTTGTCCTTGCATAGATTTGACGGAAAAGTGTATAAAACATTTGTCTGTTGACAGCATTTTATTGATTTGATATTGAAATCATATTGCAGTAATTTCCCTTTTATTACCACTATTTTTTAGGAAACGAGACATGTAGTCTGGATAATCTTGGCTGTTTACAATATTCACACTCAAATAACACTTCTTGTAGAAACATTGCTGGTTAGTAGTTCTTGTTAAATTTATGTGTAGTTTACTGTATATATTTAATGTTAGTGATATAAAATTTCCATTATTTTAAATGGAAATATTCGAGTGTTTTCCAAATAATTGTGTGCGATGAAAGCAATAAAATGCACCGATTTATATAATTCAGTAGTGGCCAGGCATGATTGTATTTCTCGTCAGTCTAAATATTCTCGTCTGTAAAATGTTTCTTTTCATAAAATGGAAAGGTATGCCTCATTTCACTACCAAGGTTTCATGCTAGGAAAAGAGGAAAAGTGCAGGATTTGATTAACACGGATTTGTACCGATTGCCAATGCACGGCCAAATTTTAAATTCTAGGTAATTGCGATTTTGGTAAAGAAGGTCTTTGTACCTGGGAACAGATCCACAATGGTCAGGACAACTTTGACTGGTCATTTAACGCCGGCGAAACTTCATCCAAGGGAACTGGTCCAAAAGTGGACCACACAACTCGTTCTGAAAAAGGTTAGATTGTGTGGGTTTTTTTTCATCGGAACACTAATTTTGTAACTCACCATAAAATATCATTAATAATTTAGGGCTCTGTGTCAAATCGAATTTTATTTCAGGAACATCCCTTTACAAACCAGCATAACTAAAATTCTAATTAGTTAGAACTAAGTACTAGTGTTCTAACTCCTCTGTTACAACTTACAACCATACATGAATGCCATAAATACGTGAATGCCATAAACTTACTACTTACGTCCGAAGTATAATCACAGCAGATTGGTCTTTGCATGCTTCGATCGATACAGCAAGACCGCTCATGTTATATACAATACATTGTTATAAAATCATTGGATATAATACAATGCTACATTTTATACCAAAATATAGCGTATTCTGCATCGTCTTCTGCTGCTGACTTAAGTATTTTTTTTCTAGGATGGTACATTTATATCGAAACAAGTTCTCCACGAGTCAAGGGTGATAAAGCCGTTCTTAAGTCTGGCCCTTTTAATAATGACGTAAACTTTTGTTTCACATTTTACTATCACATGTTCGGTAATAATATCGGTAGCCTCAGTGTGTACCAGGATTGGAATACAACCGAAAAACAACTACTTTGGACAAGACATACGTCAGCTGGTAATGGTTGGATGAACGCCTGGTTTGATGTTGAATCTGACAAAGAGTTTTATGTATGTATAAGCATGCGAAGTAGTGAATCCCAATATGAAGGAGTGTCTGGCGTTGTCTTTGGTGAAATATAATCCTAAGGGAATTTAAGCATCCAAAATGGCAACAATACAATGAAAGGAAACGAATAATTTAAAGTAGTCTTAGTGATTCTAACTTAATGCCCTTCTCGCTTTGTTGATATCATTCAGTGGAAAACTTAACGCAATGATATTACATGCAGGACACAGTTTTCTATGTATCACTTGAAAGACTGTCAATCGTTGTGTCCTTTCCGTCGTGTTGCCATCCTCTAGGTCTTAGGTTCCTATTATCTAACCTGAAACATTTCTTCTGAATTGCAGTTATTGATTGAAGGTGTTCGTGGCAATGGATCTCAGGGAGATATCGCAATTGATGATATTATCATGGTTGATAAAAACTGTTCTCAAGTTTATGACGGTATGGTGAATACTTGGTTTACTGGAAATATTATGAAATAAACAACACAAGTAACTCCAAATATGACAGTTTTAAATTATATTGTGCTATTGAAAATGTTTAGTCATTCGTTATAATTACGAAATATGTATTAATATGCATATTCAAATTGTTCAAAGTTGTCTTGATTTGAAATATATTGGAGAAGAAACGGTATCTGTGAAGAATTGTCCTTGCTTCACAGCCATCAATAGACAACACGCGTAAACTAATTTTATCCTAATTTACTGTAGCAACCTCTCCATTTTGTTCCTTCGAAGAGAGATGTGTATGGAGATGGACGAATGGAAATTTTGCACGTAGCAGAGTTGAAGAGAGCAACAGCTATGTTCTCAAAGGTTTATTTTGTGGCAATTGCAATTACTAATCACACTTGTGGCAACATTACAACAATCTAATTTATCTCTTAATACAGTAAAATTTCACGCCAAGATTTACTAAAGTGTCTACTCCAAGATTTACTTTGGTTTCTCATGGGTGGGTTATGTTATAGCCCCCCCCCCGTACAATTTCCCGGTTACTACGTCCCTGACCGGCGCTATTTTGCTTTCTTTCCAGTCGGTCAAATATCGCGTCTTTCAAGTAAGTTTAGCTGATGCGCAAGAATGCCTTCAATGTCCACCATGTTTGGCTTCAATTATTTAGTTGGAGTCATTCTACTGACCTGAACACTACAACAGGATAAAGTATTTTTTGAGTTCTAGCTTTGAAATCAGACGACGTATTTTAATTAGCTACATTATTAGGCAAATGTGTTTTTCTATGTAATTTAAAAGTCATAGATTCTTAAATCTCTTCTAATGAATTTTAAAACTCCTTAAACACTAGAAAATGAAACGTGTGGCAGCCATCTTGGTGTGACATCAGTTATTCAAGGGCAAATTTAAAGGGGGAGAGAGAGAAGTCACTGTTGATAAATTTCTTTTTAGATAAGGTATACTATTTTCAACCGATAGCTAGGAACTGTAAGAACGTTTTCCAGAATGTCACAATTTGTGGTGTTCACACCAATATGGCCTCCATTGGCTTCATTTACGTATAGTGGATCCAGTGTTAGTTTTCAGTACGGTGATCCAGTCTTCCATGTTAATGACTTCGGTGACCTTCGCTGGCACAAGTCATGTTTCATGCATAAATTATATATAAATTATACAAACATTTGCAATAAATTGGCAATGACTTATTTTCAGCACATTTAAACTAAATTCAAACCAAAGTGGTTAGTCAACTTGACTAAATTATGAATACTTGATTAAATGTAGCTATGGTAACCATTTTATTCTCAGATTTTTTTCTAAAGACAAAGACATCAGGCAAACTATGGGTGATTTTATCTGAAGAAATGACAGAACAATATCAGTGCATGACATTTTGGTATAAGTTTTATTACTGCAATGGTATGTCATTTAACTCCACTCAAGAACATCACTGGAATATAATTCAAATGTCCCACAGTCTGTCAGATGCACAGGGAAATAGCCAATGGCTGTTTGGCGAAATGCCACTTGAAGGACGTTACGTGAAATCGAAGGTATATTGATTTGGAATGGGATGCCTGAACTTTATCTTTCATGTAGTGATAAAATAATATCGACGAACTTTATTTTTAAAATAGTATACTGTTATAATAATATTGAGAGTTTTTGTTTTTCTTTTAGGTTACCTTTGAAGTATTTATCCAATCCAGAACAACGTCTCAATGTTACCTTGGAGTTGACGAAATAGATTTCTCTACAGAGACATGTTCAAGTTTTCGGCAAGGTATTTTAGCCAAAATATGACATCCAGATATTTTAGGATTTGTTTAATATTAATCCCGGCGAAGAACCAGCCAGGTGTTACATCACCTAGACAGGTAATGTGAAATCCAGCCCTAACTATATTCATCTTTAAAGCAATTTACTAACCACTGTATTGGAGATGTTTAATTAAGTGGCAAAATGCGAAATAGTGACATGATCCGGTATCTCAATTCATTTCAAAACTACAACAACATGTATGTATATAGAAATAGAAATCAGTCATAAGCTAATAAATCAGAGAGCATGCACGCGGAGACTGCATGCCTCTGTCGGCGAGAGAATGGCATTCAGTAATGGCATCCAAATATTCACTTCTATTTACAGAGGTGAAGCATGTCCATGAAATGATGCAACATGTATTCAAGAAACACGTTTGCATTTCATCTCAATAGAGCAAACTTTAATTAAGACTAGTGCTGTTGATACTTCTTTATCAGTCGATTAGTGTAACTGTTTAATTGTTATAAATTATAATATTGTTTTAGCCAATATTCCAAACTTTCCATTATAAGGAAACTAGAATACAAAAAAATCAAATTTCGAGAATGACGCCTTTGAGATAGAGACTCTTGCTTGACGCCTTTCAGATAGAATTTATAGAAAGACTATTAATCCATGATATTCGTGATAAAATGTGGCCACCCTAACGATTGCATCATTCAAGCTTCCTTCTACCACCCGTTTCTACCGAAACAGTTGATCTTGTACACCGATTGTTAAGGATTTTTATGCGAAAACAACTTTAGAATTGGATGGGCGATTGATATATTAGTTGTTACGGTAATAATTTGACTTTCTATTCAAGGTGGTGCAATCTGGATCCGAAAATCGTCCAAAATGTACAAAGCTTTGAAGAACGTAAACAAAGATGGGACAATTACGGTATTTTATAATCCTCAGTTTCCACCAAGCTTCACTGATAGTTCTACGAAATTGGATATGCCAAGTTTTTTAGAGATAGTCCCCCAAAATCGTGTGAATTACGTTGTAGAGGATATTAAGTCGTCAGACCACTCCAAGATTGGCGTTGGGAATAGAGTGTTTGTAGAGGAAAGCGTTAATACTGCAGTCTTGGGAATTGTGATTTCAAATGAGGACAAGTCTCATAAGATGACTGTTCGACTCGATGCCGATAGTTCAGACATTGTGGTACGGAATCAAAAGATTTACCTCCTTCCTTATCAATTAGATAGACATGGTAAGTGAATTTTGTATAATAAATAAAGCACGTGGTCGATGTTTGCATGGGAGTTTTTATTTTTACACTTCGGCTTTTGCCCTATTAGCCATTTCGAAGTTGATGAGTGGACTCGGCACGAGTGTTGAAAAGTGCCCATATTAAGAAATGAACCAAATAACTAAAAAGACCAACTCAAAATTAGTAAGTATATATACAAAGTTTGAAGACGTTTACATGAATACACTTCGAATAATAAGCTTTCGAAAATTGTAATTAAACCATTTTCGAAAGCTTATTACTCAAAGGGTATTTATGTACACGTCTCCAAACTTTGTATACTTACCAATTTTATTCATGCTGGTCTTTTGAGTGATTTTGTTCATTAATTTTCTTAATTTGGGCACTTTTTAACACTCGTCCCAAGTCCACTCATCCATGGGCGTAGGAAGCATCAAAAAGTTGGGGGGGGGCGGTTTCTGGAGGCACTTTTCGAAAGAAAAGGGGGGGTGCAACTCAAATTTTTTTACGGACATATCATTTCTTAGCAAACATACAAAAATACACAATTTTTTCCGAAAATAACAAAATTTTTCCGGACATACCAAAATACTAAAATAAATGTAATCATAAATCAAAGGCTATTGAGGCAAACGGCGATCTTAACGACATTTTCACGTAGTCAGAAGGGCACTTTGCCACCGAAAAAAGGGCACTTTTGAAAACTTGGGGGGCCTGCCCCCACCCCCCGGTTCCTACGCTCCTGCTCTCATCAACTTCGGAAAGGCTAATTATTGCACTTAAATGCAAACACATACATATAAATGGTCATGATTATCCACAATTCAGTTAGAGATGGAGCTCATGTTTTTCGGCAAAATGGAAAGAAAAAGTTAACTTTTTCAATTCAGATGAAATTAGATCAGACTTAGAGAGATGCACTAATTAGAAAGTGCTACAATGAATAAACTCAAGCCGTGTTCTGTATAATCATAAATTACTTCTAAGGGGTATTTTTATCACATCTTATCTGAGCAATGATATAGTGCATTTGCTTTGGTTTAATTATCACATAATTTGTGTTTTTTTCTACAGGCCCCACTTGGCTGAAAACCGATAATATTTATTGCTTGAACAACCCTGGTAATCATGAGATATGTAATTTTCACTCTGAACTTCCAATGAACTGGTTTGACGGGGTCGACTTTTGCAAGACACGAGGAGCAGAAATGGGAAAATTTTACTCGAAAGCTGAAGAAGATTACTATCGAAAATATCGTGGTTTGTTGTTATGGGTTGGTTATCATGGACATAAATACCAGGGGAATAAGTTCGTATGGAGTGATGGTAGTGACGATGTATACAACAGACTAGATAAAAAGAGTCTGAGACAAGGATTTTCCGCTGGTCTATGTGTTTTGGTTCCAAATTCAAATTTTACGTCCTGGGAACGAAGAAATTGCAGCGAAACTCATCGAGTTCTTTGCAGTCAACCCGGTAAACTTATACACTAGAGATGTTTTTATTAAAGATAGGCCAAGGTTGGGGCAATGGATTCTTGGGCTCACCTCATCTTATATACCATGCACATAATTAGCTATATATATAAAAGAATATAATAATTATAGCATTTTTTTATCTCATTGTTGAAACTACAGCCTGTTTCATGAAGAACCATGTAGCCTACACCTCCCTAATGATTCCTTTATTGAATGAAATAAGTTGTAAGGGAAAGCAAAACTATACTTTGATCTCTATCTATATGATATCTGTTGTGACGTTTTATAATATTAAGAACTCATTAAGAACTCATTAAGAACTCATTAAGAACACATTCAGTTGGAACTTACTAAGTTATTTAGCTGATTATGCAGCGTATTATTAGTTAGATTATCTAGTATATTGTTATGTTAATAAAGTAAAAAACCCATAAAAATAGAACGTTATTTTAGACTTATATAAATAATACTGTGTATGTAGTCGGTAAAAGTACATGTCAAAAATACAATTCAGTGAAGCCGATATTTGGGTTTATAACATTGGCGACGAGGAGTAAACAAAGTTAGTATGCCTCCTAGATCGAGAAAGGTGTTAAAAATCGAAGAATTCGAGCCAGACGAAGACATATTAGAAACCACATGCAAATAGAAATTGTGGAGACGAAGACTCGAGATTCAAATGAAATATTTCGACATCGTAAAGCCAGACGATATGAAAGCAGCGTTGTTAGTTCATGGTGGCGACAAAATCCTTTCGATAGACGAGAACGGAGCTGAACCAGAAGGCGACTTGGACGAATACAAGAAGCTTATAGCGAAAATTGAGCATGTATACGTGGCGAAAAACACGAGATTGCACGCGAGGTTGATTTAACAAAGCCGTTCGACAATCGAATCAATCTATTGCTCAATACGAACTCGAACTTCGACGACTCGCTAAAGAGTGTGACTTTCACGGATACGACGAAGAAATGATTTTAGACCGTTTGATATTAACTTGCAAAGACGAAAGCCTGCAAGCGAAAGCGTTGGAAAACAACTGGTCACTCGAAGACTTCTTAAAGTATGCGACTACAAAGCAAGACGTCGAAGCACAAAGAAACGAAATGAAAATGGAAATTAAGAAAGAATCACTCGAAGTACGAAGAGTAGCTGATAAAAGATTCTCGAGAGGAAAATCGCAAAAGCTGTACTCGTTTAGAAATCGCGAAAACCCGAGAAAACCCGTCAGCGACGTGAAAGATAACAAAACCTGCACGAAGTGTGGTCGTGACAAATCACATTCTACATGCCCAGCTGCCGAAAAAGAATGTTTCAATTGTCGAAAGATTGGTCATTTCCGTGCACAGTGTTTCTCAAGAAAACCCGACAGCAGATCGAAGCAAGTAAAAGCTGCTGGCTTGCATGGTGGTTCTGTGATGAATGATTTCCAACAAGATTCTGTCGACTCGTCTGATTCCGATCCTGAGTTTTACAAATATGTGAGCGAGAAATTGGGCATACGGGCAGTAAAAGGACAAAATACTAGCAACATTTTGTTACCTGTTTAGGTCTGTGGAACCAAGATTATCGTTGATCCAGATACCGGCGCTGATGTCGACCTAATCTCAGTTAAAGATTTCAAGAAAATTCATGAAGCAAATCCTGAGATCAAGAAGCAAATAAAGAAACCAAAACAGAAGATCTACGCCCTGAATGGCGAAGAGCTGGAAGTTATGGCTACAATTAAAGATGCAAAGTTGTCAAACAAGAACGCAGAAACACTCACTGATCTCTACGTTATTGAGGACGGTATTCATAAATTCCCATTATTATCAGAAAGAACACTGATGAATCTTGGTATGATTAAATACAGCGCTGAGGGAGAGTTTGTGAAGAAAGTTGACGCGAGAAAGAGCGATGATACAGAAAGAAAGTGTAAACCTGATGATAAAGTACCACAGGAAGAGCTCAGAAAGATCCTGCAGAAACATAAGAAGATGTTCCAAGGTATAGGGACATTAAAGAATCCTGAAACAGGAGAGCCAATCCTCACTCATATCGAGATGAATGCCGATGCAAAACCAGTCATACAACCTCCAAGACCTGTCCCACACCATCTCGAAGAAAGAACCAAGAAGAAATTGGATTACTTTGTTCAAGAAGGGATAATGACTTGGATTAAACCAGGAGAACCGATTTCATATGCCAGTCCACTTGTCATCACACCAAAAGGAGATGATGATGTTCGCATCACTGCAGACTTCCGAGTGGCAAACAAAGGAGCATCGAGAACCCGCATCGTACCTGGTCTACGAGTAGACGAATTGTCGGCAACGTGTGGAGAGTGCAAAGTGTTTTCACATCTTGATATGAACAATGGCTACCGCCAAATGAAACTTGACGAGGATTCCAAGAAATATCTAGTAGTGACCACGCCCTGGGGAAATTTGAAGCATGAAACGCTTGCACAGGGATGGATAACCAGCCAAGATGAATTCGACAGACGAATAAATGAGATTCTAGCGGGAATTCCTCACGTAAAGAGTAATCGAGACGACTGTCTAATTGGTGGGAAAGATCGAAACGAGCACAACAGAACACTCGATCTAGTCCTAACACGTCTGCAAGACCATGGATTAACATTAAGATTGGAGAAATGTGAATTTGGAAAGGAGGGAGTCGAGTTCTATGGTGTCAGATTTACGGGAGAAGGAATCAAACCATCGAAGGCGAAAGTTAGAGCGTTGCAAGAATGTGGAGAGCCCAGTTCAAAAGAAGGAGTAAGAAGCTTTATGCAGATGGTGGGGAATATGTCTCGATTTATCACCAGCGTTGCCCAGATTGCCGCATCGCTGCGACAGTTAAACGAAGTCAACCTCAACCTTCCATTGGGGACCTATAGAACAGGAAGCTTTCGATAGCTTGAAGAGCAGTTTGACGCAGCAAACAACCCTTTCCTACTTTGTTCCCGAAAGACCGATAAGAATTTACGTAGATGCGGGAAAGAAAACAGAGAAATCGAGCAACGTTCCTGGAGGACTATGTGCTATTTTATGCCAGCACGGTGGCGACGGACAGTGGAAAATGTGTCACGTAGCCAACCGTGCCTTAACTGACGTTGAGACAAGATACGGACAGACTGAGTTAGAAGCAGCTGCGATTAAGTTTGCTTGTGCTGACGCCCTTTATAAGTACTTGGTTGGAGCGCCAAAGTTTGAACTCTTTACGGATTGCAAACCGCTTGTACATCTCTTCAACAATCCAACCTCAAGAGCACCACTGCGTATCGAGCGACAAATTCTCGCCATTCAAGGTTTAGACTATGTGGTCAAATATCAGAAAGGAGCTGAGAACATTGCGGATTATGGATCAAGACACCTGACGAGGAGACATGATGACATTCCCATGGTGAAGTCCGTGAACGAGTTAGACGAAGGATTACGAACTTTTGTCTCTGAAGACAACGAGTACCTTTCCAGAATGGCAAAAGACGACAATGATTACCAATTCCTAAAAGAAGTAAATCAAAGAAACCTCTGGAAGAAACACGGAAAAGATCCAAGAGTTTCAAGATTCCTCGGAGTAGCGTCCGACTTATCTGTTGTTGGAAAAATCATCCTGTGTAAGGACAAAGTAATTCCGCCTTTGAGCAGTCGAAGAAGATTTGTCGAGAAAGCACACAAGATTGGGCACTCGGGAGAGACCCGCACGCTGAAACTTCTTCAAGAAAAGATTTGGTTTCCTGGAATTTCTAAACTCTGTAAACAAGCTGTACAGAATTGCCAAAGCTGTCAAGTCACTCATGATCGCACCTATGACGAGCCTCTTCAATCAACACCATTGCCACCAGGTCCTTGGCATACAATCTCTGTGGATTTCAAGGGACCATTCAAAGATGGAACTTACGCCCTGGTCGGATATGATCTTTACTGCCGTTATTCTGTTTAAGCTACTGCAGATCTACAGCGTTCTCGTGTGTGAAACCGATCCTTGACTCGTGGTTTTCAACATTTGGTACAGTGAAGAAGCTGAAATCAGATCGAGGACCTCCATTTAACGGACATGAATTCAGTGCATTTGCTCGCGAGAGAGGATTCATTCACAAACCGGTGAAACCCAGACATAGGCGTACCGGGCGGGGGAGCTGAGAAATTCATGCAAAACGTGAAGAAGATGGAGAGAATTGCGAAACAAGAAAGGAAGAAATATCGCTATCTCATTGAAGAAATGTTAAATGCTTACCGTGCCACACGGCATCCTGCTACAGGGAAAAGTCCATTCGAGCTCATGTTTGGGAGAAAAATGCGACTTGCAGTATTGCCAGAGATCTCAGAAATACCCGAACGTGATAACCACCCTGAAGTCAGTCAAAATGATGCCTTGTATCAGTTGAAGTCGAAAAGATACCACGACAAGCGCAGAAATGTGAGAAAGTCCAGAATTGCTGTTGGAGACAAGATTCTCATGAAAAACAAACGGACAGATCCACTTAGCCCGATTCCTGGTAAAGTGATCAATGTACGTAGAAACGCCGTGACAGCTCGATTTGATAACGGGAAAGTTTTTATGTGAGACAAGTCACATTTCAAGATTGTACGAGAAAGATCTTACGTCGAAAAGCTAGAAAGAGTACGAGAAGAACAAACGTTTCAAGACAACATACTCAACCAGAGCAGAATCGATCAGAGTACGCGAGACGTCCTGCCAGACCAGATTAATCGTGACGAAGCAGATCAATTGATGAATTCACACAAGAGCAGCACTAACGATCGGAAACAGCCGATTTACGTGACGCGCCGAGGTCGCGAGGTTTATCCGCCGGATCGATTCCAAATTTGAGGAAAAATGGAATGTTTTGAGAATATTATGAACGTTTTATAATATTAAAAACTCATTAAGAACTCATTAAGAACTCATTCAGTTGAAACTTACTAAGTTATTTAGTTGATTATGCAGCGTATTATTAGTTAGATTATCTCGTATATTGTTATGTTAATAAAGTAAAAAAACCATAAAAATAGAACGTTATTTTAGACTTATATATAATAATACTGTGTATGTAGTCGGTAAAAGTACATGTCAAAAATACAATTCAGTGAAGCCGATATTTGAGTGTATAACAATATCGAGCACTCGCTACCATTTCGTGAACCAAAACACACTCATAATAATACGCTCCTTCACTTCGGTGTTGTAGAGCACTTTGTGGAGTTAATTGGGTGTCCATCAGCGATAATGCAAAGCTCACTTCCCTTGTGGTTATATTATCACTCTGGCCCCATGTCACTCTGCGCATGTCTGGATGCGTTGATGGCTCGTGTTGTACCACACGCGCTTGGGAGAGCAAGTGTCATGTGTATCAATACGAAAGTCATTGCGTGTCCAGATATATATATATATATATATATATATATATATATATATATATATATATATATATATATATTAACCTCCCAAATACGCGCCTACAAGTATTGCAAGCTTGATTCTGACTCAATCATCAGAGAAAGTTGAGAAGAACCAGTATGTACGTAAAATATCAAAGTTGTAGCTGCAAGAAAGGTGCAGCCATGCAATTAAAGCTCGTTCAGGAGATTCAGGAAAAGCAGTGGGTATTTGTGTAACCAGGTAAAAGCTACAAGTTCGCAAGAAAAACGTATTAACCATAGAAGTCAATATAGTGAGCTCAACAGTGTATTGTTTGTTTGTCTTGTATAGTTAAGGATGTATGGACAGCGCATCGTTACATTTGTGGTGGAGTACAAACATTAAAGTGTGCCTTCCTGAGCACTGTAATGCACGTGAAAGTTGCAGAATTATTTCCAGTTAACCCAGGTGTATGCTCAACATCAGCGATTACCAACATTACTTGTCTTCGGTTGTTACTTGCTTTGAAACCTCAGGCTCTTGCCGAAGTAAGGATGAAATGTGAGGGAAGAAATCAGTGTAATATTTCATCGAAATCATTATCAAATGATCCATGTCCGTCTGTGAGAAAATATTACGAAGTTAACTACAAATGTGAATTCAAGTCAAGTGGCTATCCAGGTAAAACCAAATGTTACATAGTAGTAGTAATGTAGGTGGTTTTCGACACTTTTTTGAGGGTGCGTAAGGGTGCTGAAAGTGCGCTAATTAATATTCATACAAATGAGGGTGCGTAAGGAGATGGAGTGTGGTGGAGTGAGGCTGAGGTAATCACTTGTCTGCAGGTAATTACTGTGCAAGGGGCCCGCAAATTTAGACACAAAGAATAGAATCGAAAGGGGATAAATGCGGACATAAGGCTTACGCATGACGTCCTAATGATATGCGAGGCGAGCCATTAAACTGAGCTCAGCATTTTTGTCACAACAGCATTAGCTTTTTAATTAGCGTCGCTACAAATTTTCCAAACAGTTGATCTAAGCACAGTCTTTGATCGACAGTCAACGGATAACATGGATATAATTTTTGACGAGTTGAAACGAAAAGAAATTGATGTTGATAAGCAAACTTTATCGTTTCATATAACTACAATTAATCAACATCGAGATGTATACCGTGAAATGAATACTCGTGGTCTAAACCTTGAACAAGTCTACAGAAATATCAATGTTACAAACTTTGGTCGTATTATTACCTATTTAGCTTTCATATGTTTACAAAATAATAGCGAGGAATCTATTAGTCATAAAAGTCGAGACATATTTTAAACAGAACTAAGCAGTTGCTAATCCCAATTAAACATGGTTGTCAACGCCGTTGGTCGATATTTAAAAAAGTGTTTAACCCGCCGACCCCATGTGGATACAATTTTTTATTTCGCCATGGCCAAGCGAAATAAATACAAGGTAAGATATTTTCGTTATGGCAAACATATTGATATATGTACATACATATATATATATATATATATATATATATATATATATATATATATATATATATATATATATATATATAGCTAATTCAAAAAAGGTTGTCCTTTGCAAACCTTAAACTCTAAACCTTAAACCTTAAACTCTAAGCGCGCAAAGCATAATGGGAGTACTGATTTCAAGCTTTGTAGTTGAATATTGCAGCTGTTTGTGAGTGAAATGATTTCGCAGGCACATATTTACCATGTCTCTAAGAAATGGGCTCCATGTATGCTTTCTAAACTGCTTAAATAGTGCTCCCATTACGCTTTGCGCGCTTAGAGTTTAAGGTTTAAGATTTTTTGACAACCTTTTTTGAATTAGCTGTATATATATATATATATATATATATATATATATATATATATATATATATATATATATATATATATATATATATATATATATATATATATATATATATATATATATATATATATATATTTATATATATATATATATATATATATATATATATATATATATATATATATATATATATATATATATATATATATATATATATATATATATATATATATATATATATATATATATATATATATATATATATATATATATTTATAGATTTGAAGATTTGTAATCCAGGCATTTTATTAAATTATAATTTTTACAAAATTATACAGTGTTCTCCGGATTGTAATAATTATAAACATTATTACAATCCGGAGAACACTGTATAATTTTGTAAAAATTATAATTTAATATATATATATATATATATATATATATATATATATATATATATATATATATATATATATATATATATATATATTACGGAAACTAACACTGTCGAACACGCTGAGTTCAAATCCGAAAAGTTCCCGCTCCGTAGACTTGCAGTTTTCTCACAAACTGCAATTTTATCTTCACTAATTTCATGACAAATTTTTTCATTGTTCAACGACACTGATCGATGACGACAAACGATTAAGTCACTCAATAGGACCAATCTCTATTAACCAGTCTTCCTTTTAACAAAAGACCGTTTTTCACGAAACATTTTGAGTTATGTAATATTATGCGTGTTGGACATAAACAACATATCTTGTCTACAGCTTTGAGAAGGCACAGATAAAGCTTTCTAAAATCCTCAGGTCTGGTTTTATCTCTACAAAATGACAAGGACGTTAAGTCCGTCTTTAAGTCTTTTGGTTGTGTCTTTGGGCTGAGAAATAATTCCTTACATGCGATAAAAATGTTTTATACAACGATGTAAAACGGTAATGTTATGTACTGGATCAGCATTATTTTAATTTCCAACGCAGTTTCTGAGACGTAATTTAAGAGGTAGCTTATCATCGCATTTGAACCATTATATCAGTTGGTGTTATACTGTTCAATTAGCGAGTATTATTGGAAAGGGGGCTTTCATATACGTTGAAATTATCAAATAAACAGCTCATGCACACATTTCCCCACTTCGTCGTATGTTAACAGAGCAGTTTTTATACTTTGGCACTAATCTTTGTGTTTGATTTGAACATTTATTCTTCTAGTTTAAGATTATTTAAAATTTATCCTGTTGTAAGTCTTTTACCAGCAACCTATCGACAATATTTCATTTTAGCGTTGTCTTTGCCGTTCCGTTGGATTCGCGTTACTTTTGTTTTAAATGCCTTGATCGCGTTAAAATAGTTATTTCTCAGCCCAGAGACATAGCCAAAAGACTTAACATTAACGTCCTTGTGATTTTATAGAGATTAGAGACAGAACTGAGGATTTTAGAAAGCTTTATCTGTACCTTCTCAAGTTGTAGACAAGATATCTTGTTTACGTCTAACACGCATACTATTACATAACTCAATATGATTTGAGCAAAACCGGTCTTTTGTTAATTGATCATTTTGAGTGACATAATCGTTTGTCGTCATCAGTTCGTGTCGTTGAACAATGAAAAAAGTTGTCGTGAAATTAGTGAAGATAAAATTGCAGTTTGTAGGAGAACTGCAGGTCTACGGATCGGGAACTTTTCGGATTTGAACTCAGCGTATTCGAAAGTGTTAGTTCCCGTAAAAATATTTCAGTTCCAAGACATGGGAAATGAAAGTGAACGATATCCGGACGCAGCAAACGGCCTAAAAAGTCGTTAAAGGATTATAACCAAAATTTTAATTTCTTAATTAAATTAAGTGTTTGGATAGATAGGGATTATATATTACGCAGGCGTACACTTTAAAATAGGGCACGTGGCTTTGCGCGCATAAAATTGCACCAGAATTTAGATTACTTCTTCAGAACGTTTTATAAGAATTAGTACGGTATATTTCTGAGAGCGTATCCCTCAGGTGTGTTTTGTAGAGCGGATAACTGTAGTTCTTAGGCAAGTCATAAAAGGCAGGTGTTCTTTTTGGCGGGTGGGAAAATTTTTATGTAGCTCGGAGACACTCTAAATATCTTGGAACAGAGCTCTCAATAGCTCGGAGCCACACTAAATAGCCCGGAGCCGAGCTCCATTTGAATAATTTTATCCTAGATTGAATAAATTGAATCCTAAGATTGAATCATTGAATCCTAAAATTGAATCATTGAATATTAATCCTAAGATTGAATCATTGAATCCTAAGATTGAATCATTCAATCTCCTGGATTGAATCATTGAATCATAAGATTGAATCATTGAATCCTAAGATTCCTCTAGCTGTAGCTGATAATAATTTGGTGTATTCGTTCAATTTATTCATTTATGCATCTATCCAGTACTCTTCCTTATCTTCATGATCCTTATCTTGCCTATCGTTATCTTCCTTATCTTTATTTTCTTATCTTCCTTATCTTCATTATATTCTTCCTTATTCTTGTCTTTCTTATCCCATCTTTATCTTTTTATCTTCCTCTTCTAGCTCTAGAGTCAGACTCTCGGATCATAAAATCCACTATGTTGCTTTTATTTTCTTTAATATATACTTATAATTTCCAATACACATATAGGAAGATAGAGATAAAGATAAGGATAAGAAGATAATGATAAGGATAAGGAAGAAGATAGGAATAAGGATAAGGATAAAGAAGAAGATAAGGAAGATAAGAAGATAACAATAAGGAAGATAAGGATAAGCAAGATAAGGATAAGCAAGATAAGGATAAGGAAAATGAAGATAAGGAAACAATAAGGAAGATAAGGATAAGCAAGATAAGGATAAGCAAGATAAGGATAAGGAAAATGAAGATAAGGAAGAGTACTGGTTAGATGCATAAATGAATAAGTAGAACGAACTGTGTTAATCGTTCTTTACTCGTACTACTTCTCTCGTATTTCTCATCGAAACGGTAAAAACAATCGCATATAAAACCATACAAAAACAACATATATATTTTTATCCTACATTTTGTACACTCTCAAGACAACAACAACGTCCATTTTACTTCCGCTATGACGTATGTTACACGAACACACCAAATTATTATCAGTTACAGCAAGGTGAATCTTAGGATTCAATGATTCAATCTTATGATTCAATGATTCAATCTTAGGATTCAGTGATTCAATCTTAGGATAATTCAATGATCCAATCTCATGATTCAATTATTCAATATTAGGAATTAAATGATTCAATCTTAGGATTCAATGATTCAATCATAGGATTCAATGATTCAATCTTAGGATAATTCAGTGATCCAATTTCAGGATTCAACGATTCAATCTATGATTCAATGATCCAATCTTAGGATTCAATGATTCAATCTTAGGATTCAATGACTCAACCGTATGATTCAATGATTCAATCTTAGGATTCAATGATTCAATCTAGGATAAAATTATTCAATTCGGCTCCAAGCTATTTAGTGTGGCTCCGAGCTATTGAGAGCTCTCCAATGGATCTCTACTCAATTACTAATTGACGTAGCATAATTAGTAATCAATTCCAATGGATCTTCGAGTGAATTTCGATAACAAGTAATGACATATTAATATATACATACAAACGTTCGAGACAATTGTGGTTTTCACTCTGGATCCTGAAATAGCACTCGTCCTTTGGACTCATGCTATGTTGATGCTTCTTTGAAAAATTCTCTGGTTCATTTTTTATCCAATTTGCACTCAAAACCATCCTATTACCTATACGTAGGTGAATTAAGAAAATATGGCATAAATATAGACAAATAAGCACTAATCTTTTATAGAAATACAATTCCGAATTAACAAGCACATGTATACGATGAAATTAACGCTGGGATCAATGTTGTAGACTTCCTTAATTTCATTTTAGTCAATTTACTCGATCTGATTGGTTAAAAATTGTCACGACTAAATATTAATTAACTTATAAATTAATTTATTAATCATATATATTGAATACAAAATTTCAAAATCTAAATAAAAAACTTGAAATTTATATTTTCTGGGCTTTTATTTTGCAATTGGCCTCTTTAAGTATGTTTAAACATTAAAGAAAAAGAAGAAATAAAGATTATTGACAGTTTTTCACAGGTATGAATTAAAAATTAATGTGAACAGTTTACTCTCAAAATTGACAAAGGCGCGCTTGACTACATTAATATAATGTTTCTTTGCATATATTAATAGTTGCCCGTGTAAAATTGACTATATAAAAGGATATTAATATGAAATTACTCTTGTTCTCGAAGAATTAGGAAAATCCAGGAAACGGATTAACCATATAATAGTTACCTAACATACGGTCCTCACAATATAACAATATTTGCAAACAAAAGAATGAGATTGCTGCTATTTGCATATGAGAACAAAATTAACTACTAATGAATACATTTACAATTTAGTAAATACTTATTACAATTTTTACTAAACAGGTCCTTCTTTCTTCTTACGTTAACACTTGTTACTTTTGCCAGTTCTTGCAGACAGTAATCCTGTATTCCGTCCAAAGAATTGGGAAAAATTTCACTCTCACTATTACAAACTTTACACAAGGAAACATAGCTGGACCGAGGCTCTGGAAATTTGCAAGCTTACACCAGGGGCGACATTAGTGTCAATACTTGACAAACGAGAAGAAAAATTCGTAACAAAACAAATGAATTCAAACGGCGTTAAAGTTTTCCACATTGGTTTAACAGCAACAACTTATCCAGGAACATTTGAATGGTTGGATGGCAGCAGCAACTCGTATCAAAATTGGGTTAGTGGCTCTGATGAAACATTTTCTGGTGAACCCCTGTTTGTGTCAGCTGGAGTAAATGGTTGGCTGGCATCTGACGGTGAAACGAAAGCCGGTTTTATGTGCAAATACACGCCAGGTAAATAGCGAAACGCTATTTTATACATTTTAGGCACATTTTACGATAATTTGAAATCCACAGATTTGTTTTATTTTGTGTCATAGATGAAACATTAGGAGGATACGACCTCCCCCCCGAGTTTTTTAAGTTTTGAAATAATTACAAAATTGGTCCTGAAGGAAAGTCTGTGGTGGTTCCGGACCTTCCATCGCTCCTCCCGTCGGTGGTTACGCCTCTGAATATGTTTGCGCAAACGACGTCCGACATTTTCATTGCCCGCTGGCTTAGCTTTATAATGTAATTTTTTATGCAAGTCTATAATATATACTTTCTTTTAATCATACGTAAATGACTGCCTCGTCCCCAGGCGCTAATTAAAAAATTTGCGAATCACTATATGAAAGGTTTACATGAAGTAGTGCGTCACATTATAGGCGCGCGCAAAGGACAGTGGGATATGAGCGTTCTGGTTAGCGCCTGGCCGATCTTGTATAATAGCTGTCGAACATACAAGTAAACAACAGATCTAAATATAAATCCCTTCATGCATATCACCAGAAAGAAATAAAGCTATCCTTACCTGAATTATTCAAAATATTGCCGATCGTTTACATTGTGAAAATCAAACATACTGCATGTAAATAAGCTTGTAACTGATATCCTGAGACGAATCTTGCAAATACAATTCAAAATAAAGTTTCATCGCTCCCTTGTTTAAAAAACGTCTTGTAGCTGTATATTTTTAAAATAAATTGCTCATTGTGATAAAAATACATTGTCATTTTTCCATACCTTGTGATTTATTATATAAACTGGCTTCTACGGCCCCGTAGAACTCTTCAAGTGTTGACATCTCGGAATCATTCAAAGCGTTAAAAGATATCAAATATCATCTGACTGTAATCACATGTTTAATTGAACGATTTGAAATGTTATTTCCTCAAAAAAATGGCGAAAAACGCCCCCAAACTGTCGAAAAACCACGATTTGCAAGAAACAGACGAATTTTGCAAGAAACGGCACAAGATCTCCCAGGCGCTCCTCAAATTTGATGCCTCAAGCCCATAACTCCCTGCGCTTGTTCGTCATGATGCACTACTTCATGTAAACCTTTCATATAGTGACTCGCATGAAATTTTTTATTAGCGCCTGGGGACGAGGCAGCGTAAATGACAAGATGCATTACTAAATTTAAATCGTTGATAATAATTACATATATTATGCAAATAATTCCAGGTATGGGAGAATGCAATTTTGAAACAAATTGGTGTGGATGGCGAGATAATTCAAGCTTTAACAGTTCTACATGGTATCGTTCAATGGATGTAGATATCATATCAAAAGGAAGAGGTTCGGATGAGTACCTTATAATTATGCTACGAAAATAAATATTGGATTGATATGTTTTATGAAGGATTATTTGATAAGGTGTTGTAATATATGACATATTTAGGTCAAAGTAAGTGATATCGGCCTAATCGGAAGTTTCACAATGAAAATGGATTATTAGACAATCCTGATTTGAAAATGTGTATAATAAATAAAATAGATCAATTTAACGTTGACAATTATAGTTACATATGTCATGCAATTGTTTTAGCAACCCTTCACTCTTTCTAATGGATATAATCATGGATATCTTATATACTTTGCCCTTTCTAATGGATATAATCATAGATATCTTATATACACTAGATAACGCATCTCTTTTCGTAAATTTGAAGACGCGAATATTCCAGCGGTTACCCCCATTTGAATAGATAGCGGCCATGTTGGTTGTTCCCACTCGCTAATAAACGTTTAAAAAACAACAACAACTTTCATCATTTGAATAATTTAAAAATGAATTTGGAATAGGTTTAACTTAATGTTTAAGTTCCCTGTTTAAGAAGAAGAAAACATATAAATCTTCTCATTTCATGGGAATATCCTGAGTCTGCAATCACAACTTCAATTTTTGAATTTCAGTATAATTAGATGCACTATCTAGTCTATATAAGATATTTTATGTAAGATAGATGATTAATTGACATGACAATTGATTAATTGACATGACAATTATAGTTGCATATATCATGCAATAGTTTTAGCAACTCTTCCCGCTTCTAACTTTTATTATAAATCAAACCACTATTTTTTCCAACCATTTTTCCCAACATAAAGTATTGCTTTGACGTATTCTAACCATCCAATTGAGTCCACGGTAACCTTCCATGCAGTGGTAACCTTCCAGTGAAGTTCATTTCATCTTCCCTCACTTACCCCTATTTCGGTACCAAAATCTCAGTACCATGTTTAGCATCCCATGCACGCAGTAGACGTGCCATGCTTTATTTTGGGGAAACTGGAAGATTTTTTAACACAAGGTTAGCCGTGCAGTTGCTAGACATTTTAATAGTGACAATCACAGTGTTTCAGATACGAAAATTGTTTTGTCACATAAACACTTTTTAATTATATTTCCTAGCATAAAAGTCGGATAATTTTCCCGACTCTCGAAACGTCGATGGTCTGCTTCACTGCTTGTATTTTGCAAGTAGTTGTATCCCTATCAATCCACAGCATTGTTATTAACACAGAAAATAGGAAAAACTTAGTTGAACGGTTTGAACTATATAAATTTATAGTTTGAATTATAAAAAGTTATTAATTGTGAATGAAGAAAGCGGTATTCGAACATATATTTTAATTTTGTGTTTCAACCTTCAACTATACTTTACCCTTTATAATCATTTTCCTATATAAGGTTTGTGTAAGGTTAAGGATTGTCTACCTAGAATAATCATATATGACGTTTAACCCTTTGTCTATTTTTGTATAATTATTAACATATATATATAATCCTATATTAAGTAAGTATTACCCAACGCTGCAAATGCTTCATTCTAGTTGTAATTGGAGGTCAAAGAATAAATAGTTACTCGTGACAACAGATATGATGTTCTGCATCTGTTTTTCATTTAGGTTTTCGACTCAGTTGCGGCAAAAACAACAACATTTCGTCTAAAGCGTCAATGTCAACTTTGGTTTCGCCATGGATGGACTCGTCTTTTGACAATGTTCGTGGCGTGTGCATGATTTTTTTATATCGCTTGCTGGAGCGGGAGTCGCAAATTGACGTTTGGGTTGAACCAAGAAATATGAACAAGGAACGTCAGTGGTCAGTTAGAAATACTGAGGAAAATAATCCCTGGAAAAGTGGTCAGGTTTTTCTGGGACTTGTTTCGAAATTCAGAGTAGGTTAATGTAATAATATATGTTCAAGGATTCTCAAAAGTAACTAATATTTAGATACATATGGTATATTTATATATTATTATTATTTCTATCTCAGGTTTATATTACTGCAATACTATGGAGAAATATTAGTCAGGTAGACGTTGATGATATTTTCTTTACGGAGGAATATTGCAACTCTGTTCCACAAAACGCCCAAGGTATCGTACTTATTCGAATTAGTTTTAACCTAAAAATCCGCACAATATTCTGGAATGGGATCCGATAATAGATATACAGAAGGCTAAATAATTAATTCTTTCTCATTGTCACACTAAAAAGTATTACTAAAAACATAGGTAAATAAAACCTCGGATGCAATATGATTTTTAAGTATAGCATTGTCTGAAGTCCTCATCCAGAAGTGCGTGAGTAATGAGTGAACACTAATCACTTCCGTCCTCATTGGTTTAAAGTCGAAAGTCTATGTTCTTTGGTATTCACATATTGGCACATTCCTCATTGTAGTTTTCCTCTGAGACAAAATGTTCATCGGTGAAATCGAAATGTTTTGTCATTCCTCTATATATATTGCTCTAATTTCATCTATATCTTGTGAACGTCGCATTTTATTAATATTTTTAAGGCAATTTTATGTTGCAGTTCTCAACATTAGACAAGTCGAATGGAATAAAGAAAAATTACAATTTTAAAAAATTCTTAAATAAAAAAGTCTTTCTTGGCCTTTTCAAGTACATTATCACAAATATATATTATTAAGACTCGCGGTGTTCTTGTTAAATTTTTCAGGTATACGTAGCTTTATGCTGTACTGCAAATCTCAGCATGAGCTCCACCTTTGAATTTACTATATGAGTAAATTCTTAAACACGTCCGAATTTATCATTATGATAAATTCGTGGCACATTTTGAAATTATCATAATGATAAATTCGCGGCATCTAACACCCCTAACACTAATTACCCTAACCTCAACCCCAACCCTAACCACTAACCCCTAACCCTAACTTTTTCAACTTTTTTAACGTTTTTAACATTTTGAAAATCTAACTTTTTAATTAAACTTTGTTTTTCTTCTTTAAACTCTTTTGAAACTTTTTAGAACCTTTTTTTAAATATTCAAAAACTCTGATGGGAGGATGTGCCTGCGTATTAAATTTATTGCCCCAACAATTCTGTTTAGTCTATCTATTTTTCAGATTGGGAGACGTATATATACAATAGTCCCTCGGGATACCTCACTTCACCTTATTATCCCTTGTTCTATTTGAACAACATGGAACGTTCTTGGATGATCGAAGTTCCGCAAGGAAAACGCATTCGACTGGACATATTATTTCTAAATATAAAAAGTGACAAACAATGTGGCGAGGACTCTGTGATTGTCAAAGAAACTGCAAGTTCTCGGAAATTTACTTCCTACTGTGGAAACACTTTACCGACCGGGTATTCATCTTCAGGAAATATGGTGTATGTGAAGTTTCAATCAGATGAATCAATTGTTGGGACGGGTTTTAAGATCCGTTACAAGACCATTTCTTGTAAGTTTCTAGTATTGCCGTTAAGTCCTGGAAACTTAAAATATTAACGTTGGTTAACTTTATGCTTGCAGCTGAAGAAAATGAAAATTCTTGTGACGCAGATGACATTCTAGGTAAATATTAACATAATTATTTTACTATTTAACAATTATTCGCCGAAGCCGGCAAATACAGCGGCAGGATACGTGCATACAGCACAATGAAAACATGACATATCAAAAGAAATAGTATCGTACAAATTGAGATATCTACAGGATACAAAACAAAATTGTTTCAATTTTCGATTTTTTTTTCAATTTAATTTTTTATTTTCTAAATATATATGTTACAATAGTTTGAACTTATATATATATATATATATATATATATATATATATATATATATATATATATATATATATATATATATATATATATATATATATAGTGCAAATTGTATTTTACAAAACATGTTTGGACGGAGAACATAATATAATAAACGCAAATTAGAGGCTTTACAAGTAGTTCCCCTAGTGTTATATTAATACATTTATAATATTTAAAAAGATATCAGGTAATCAAGCTATGAACTAACGTATATTTTCATTGATATAATTATAATAAATGGCACTTGCTGCCAAAATGCGTGATTGCTCACGTTTCATGGCGTGGATTACACTTACTGCCAAAATGGCGGAGTGAGACATCTGGTATAATGTCTCATCTTTGCCGTAAGCTCGGATCTTCATTCAGTGCTAATAATATGTGACTTGTTTAATTCACACGCCCTATTTATTTACAAAAGTGTCGTGATCTGTTGGCTCGCGTCATTTAAAATTTAATTAAACGGCATATCAACCACACGTCGTCATTTCAAACGTAGTGAAGTGATTCCAATTAACGGGCGCGCATCCAAGACAAGAGAAATTAACTTTGTACATTAAAGAGAGCATGCCACGTACTATCTAGTGGCTTTCCCTCCTGATCTATAGTATTGTGCTTCTCGATAAATAAATTAATTAATAATAAATTGTATAATAAATAATAAATTAGTAACAAATAATAAATTTACCAGTAATAAATTTACGTGGTGTTTCCACAAACAAAACTATTATAAGTTTTAAATTGTTCGTGAATATGTTTGACACAGTAAAATAATGAAATAATCCTACCTTTCAAGTTAAATACAACATTTTGTGCTTCTAGCTTTCGTTTTCTGGGGCAACTGTTTCCAATATTTCATCAATTTTGAAACCAAAGTTATCGAATCGTTCGTTTTGAAAAGCATTATTTACTAGTCCGCTGCCCGCTGGACTAATGATCCATAGTTTTTGGTGATCTTGTTGCAAAATGCGATCCCAGAATGCCTTAATTAGTAATTTGCATGCATCTCAAAAGCTGTGCGGGATTTTGGGGAATTTCTGGTAACATGCGAGTGCCTCACGTATAGTCATGACTATGTTGCCATCTATATTAGAAATATCAATTTATTAATTTGATTAATTGTTATTTTGTAGACTGTGATTCTGCATTACGATGTGTTTTTATCAATTCAAAGAAATCTAAAGTGTTTGTTGATGCTGAACATATTTTCAAAATACCAGACTTCTTTCCAGCGAGGACAACTGCTATGTACGAAAGAAAATTCCATATTTTGTTTATAGGATTTTCAAGTTTCAACGCTTGTTTGCTTGAAGAGTATTCTATTCAGACCTATAGACGCGGAATAATAATATCTAACGTCTGTCTATATCATACATACACTAACATATCTTTTTATCGTGTAGAGATTTTGATGAGAATTCCATCGGGAGATTAATTGCGGCAAATTTTATTAACCTAACACAATTGGAATACCTGTAAGCGATAGCACATTTATTCAATACATCATTGATGTATAAACTCTCATCACCCGCTTAGGGACCGGTCATAAAATAAAAGGGGGGGGGTGGGTTGGAAAAATTAGGGGGGTGGGTCACTATTTTTGAACACGGTCGGGTCATCGAAAGGGGTGGGTTATCGAAAGTTATGTGCAATCATAAGGGTGGACCTTGTAAAAATATGCTGAAAATTTTTTTGAAGGGCATGCAGTGTATTAAAATTCATATCATAAAAATAGAAATAAAACGTATCCGGATCCATGTGTAAAATTTATACCGCAAACGTTCACCTCAAACTTAAAAGCTGAATTTACTATCTTGGCTAATACATTAGTAGTGGCTAACTAATTATTTCTGATATTATTGCTAAATGTCACGAGCTTTATGTAGGATGTTTATTATGTAAAAATTAGTGTAATTTCTATGAACCACAATCATTGATAAAAGTTTACAACGCCATTACACTACCACATTTCGACTACTGCAGCCTTGTATGGGACAATTGTAGTGATTACTTAATTGACAAATTACAAATATTGCAAAACAGAGCAGCACGTGTAGTTACTAGTAAATCGTACCGAACAAGATCATGCGATGTTTTAAAAGAACTACAATGGCAACCTTTGAAAGAACGTCTTAAGCATAAGAAACTATTTCTTATGCATAAGATTAGGAATAACAAATTGCCAATTAGCACAACAAATATGTTTGATATCAAAACAAACTTACGGTATAATCTCCGTAGCAACAACCGAGATTTCAGCCTCCAGAGGCCAAACGTTTAGGCATTATATCATTGTCTCCACAATGATATACTATATTGTATAAGTTCTCTATTGTGATTAGTTCGTTTAAAAGGGGGTTGGGTAAATTTTTTATATACATTATGTAATTTCATGATGCTTCTAGCTTTTTTTCTGTATTGTGTAGCACTTATGCTTGTAACTTGCACCTGTATTCTTCATATTTTGTAACTGCTTTTTTTTAGTCGAACGGCCTCTTGAAAAAACTGGTGCGTATGTGCCCTGAAGAGCTACCGTTTTTAAATAACATTAAATAATAATAATAATAATAATAATAATAATAATAATAATGATAATAATAATGATAATAATAATGATAATAATAATGATAATAATAATGATAATGATAATAATAATAATAATAATAATAATAATAATAATAATAATAATAATAATAATAATGGAAATTTTATTAATAATAATAATGGAAACTTTATTGAAATTATATACGTATATATATAATAATAATGGAAACTTTATTGAAATTATATACGTATATATACAATTATAAATCTCACTAATTTAGGTAATTGATAATTGACTACTTGAACCTACTTAATATTTATATATTAATAATGAGTATCCTTAAATGTTCAGTAATTCCGGATTTAACCAGTCCTTATCTCTGCAACAAAATATATAATATGTTGTCCTAATCGCGATAGACATAATTTTCCTGATAGCGAAATATTGGTGTCTTTTATCAAGTCCTAGATCAGTTAACATATCTAAAAAGGAATGACATTCTTTTGAGAAAACGCCTAAAGAACTAATTGACAAATTTACAAATTTTACGGACTTAAATTGTTTCTTTTGCTGTGTAATGAGATCTTCGTATGTTCTTCTTTTCCGATCAACATTTGTTTGTAGATTAGACTCATAGCCAACAGAAAGTTCAAGGATATATAGAGACAATCCGAGTTGATAGATAGAAGTAGGTCTGGGCGGAATGTGTCACCAGTTACAATTGATGGGCTTTTATAACCAGGAAGATCGACGAAAAGATTGGAGTTGTTTACAGGTTGTAGCGTTTGTGCTATAAAGTTCAGAACAGAATCATGTCTCCATGTAAATCATGGGAGGTACGTTTGACATCCAGCAACTACGTGTAAAAGGGTTTCAGGGTTTAAGCAGAAGGAGCAATCAGAGTTGGACAATATTCCCCATTTAGTAAGGTTTTTACGAGTTGGAAGTGAGTTATTAATGTAACGAATGGTGAAGTTATAGATGTTCTTTGGGAGGTTTGATTGGGATTTAGACCATATGCCGTTTAATTTCGACAGTGAAAACTTAATGACATTTGAGAAGAAGGAGCCTTGCAAAATCAGATGATTCTGCAGTTTGTCTTCTTGTCAAATTATAATAATAATAATAATAATAATAATAATAATAATAATAATAATAATAATAATAATAATAATAATAATAATAATAATAATAATAATAATAATAATAATAATAATAATAATGGAAACTTTATTAAATGTTTTTCTTTACATACATATACAATCGTAAATCTCTCTCATAAAGGTAACTTACGGTTGGCTATTTGAATCACAATTATACTAAACTAAAATAACAGAACAAAGTGCATGCAATATATATATATACAATGAGATAAGTCAAATTGTTAGTAAATCCGGATTTTCCCATTCCTTATTTCGGCAACAAAAAATGTAATATGTAGTTCTAATAGCAATAGTCATCATTTTCCTAACGCAGTACATTTGGTGGTTTTTGTCAAGACCAATACTATCTAACATGTCTAAAAAGGTATAACATTCTTCTGCAAAAATACCTAAAGAGCTGATGGAGAGATTTATAAATTTAACTTGGTTAAAATTTTTACCTAGCTGTCTCAATAATTCTCTATATTTATCCTTCTTCCGTTTTACGTTGTTTTTTGAGGTTTGTCTCATAACCAGTGGTGAGTTCAACCACATATAAGGAACCATTTGAGCACGATAATAATAATAATAATAATAATAATAATAATAATCGTTAGGGGTTGGCGTTAGCTGTAAATGTCAAACTAAAGGTCTCTAATTATGAGAAAGATACTGCATAATGCAGTATACATACATGGAACCCCGTTATTGAAGAACTAATCTCTGTGTGGTAATTCCAGCCATGTTATCTATTGTGTAACTAATTTTGTGTAATAGTTTGTGTTAAATGGAAAAATCTGTAAAATAAAATAAAATAAAATACAAAACTTTACTATGAACAAAACTATGAGGGGCGTGAAATGACCTATTTACAAGAAATTAACTATATACAAGAAATACAAAATATAACAAAAAAATACAAGTGATTTTAGCTGCACGATTACACACAAGCAAATTTCAACTCATTCTTTGTTTCAATATCGATTTGAAAGAGCTTAAGGATTCAGCAATTTTTGCCTCATGGGGAAGATTATTCCAATGCAAGGCACCGATAACTGAAGCACCTCTTGCCGAATTCTTTTTTTGGCATAGGTGGTGCTAAATCAGTATCCCTACTTCTAAGATTGTAAGTATTATGTCTTTCATTGTTAAATTGAAATGCTTCTTTAAAATTGAGTGCGGTGTGGCCATTCAGAATTTTATAGATGAAAATAGATTTAAAATAATTTCGTCTTTCTTCGAGAGGTTTCCAATTTAGATTATTGAGTAACCCAGATGACCGAATATCGTAAGTTGCCCCAGTAATTACTCTTGCAGCACGATTTTGGTATTTTTGCAACCTATCTTTGAGCCCAATTGCGCAATTATCCCACAACGGGCTGCAATAATCGAAATAAGGCTGTATAATAGCATTATATAGCATTTGGTGATCAGAAAGTACTATTCCAAGTGTTAGATAAACTTTTACACCGTGAGAATCAACGTCAATTTCCACCGCATGATAATCTTGATGATCTTACAAATATGTTTGCGGATTTTTTGTCCGGAAAATTGATACAATTCGCTCTCAACTACATTTGGCTACTGTCGATAATCTGCTAGGATTTGAATCTTCCTGTGAGACCGTTGAAAAGTTGGAATATTTTAGTTCAGTTTCTGAGCATCAGATTGAAAACATTATTCGGTTAACTAACAACAAATCATGTGAACTTGATCCAATTCCAACTTGGCTTTTGAAGCAATGTATTCCTGCCTTACTCCCGATTATAACAAAAATTGTTAACCTGTCGTTGCATGATGCATTCGTGCCTACCCTGTTCAAACAAGCCTTTTTGACACCAATACTGAAGAATATTTCCCTCAGCACAGATGAAGAAAACAGTTTCAGACCAATATCTAATCTTTCTTATGTCTCAAAATTAATTGAGAAAGTGGTGGATACCCAATTAACAAATCATATTCAGGAACATAATTTAGATGAAAGCTTACAATCGGCTTATAAGAAACACCATTCTACTGAAACTGCCTGGGTTCGGCTCCACAATGATATTTTATCTGAGTTGGATGACAATAAAACTGTACTGTTGGTTAGCCTTGATGTGAGTGCTGCATTTGATACCATTGATCATAGTATTTTGTTGCGTCTGCTCGAAAGTCGGTTGGGTGTCTCTGGGCAGTGTTTGAATTGGTTTCGTTCCTATCTCAGCGACCGTACAACAAGAGTTATTATTGATGGAAAACGTTCAGATATAAAACGTGTAAACTTTGGTGTCCCCCAGGGATCTGTCCTTGGCCCAAAACGTTTTACACTATACATATTGCCACTGGGAGATATTGCACGCAAACACAATGTACAGTTTCATATATATGCTGATGATTGCCAACTATACATATCCTTTAAGTATGAAAATAGATTGGAAACCATTGATAGAATGGAATCTCTGATGCATGACATAAAAACTTGGATGACAAAGAACATGGTGAAGCTCAATGATGATAAAACAAAGTTCCTGGTTTTGACAGGTCCTCGTCGAGACTGCTCTCATTTTCCTTGCTTGTCAATCGAAAACGAAAGTATTGTTAAATCAGAATCAGTAACTCTCTTAGGAGTAGAACTTGATGACAAGCTTACCTTAAAGAGTCATGTTCGTAATGTTGCGAAAAGTTGTTTTTTCAAGCTCCGCAATATGCGTAAGATTAGAAAATGTATTACTGAAGATGCAGCAAAAATAATGGTACACAGTATGATTACATCAATGCTTGACTATTGTAATGCTATCCTATATGGGTTACCAAATTGTGACTTGGACAGGTTATATAGTGTGCAAAAGCTGGCTGCACGATTAATCACAGGAACAAGAAAGTACGACCATATTACACCGATATTGGAAAGACTCCACTGGTTACCAGTGAAAAAGAGAATAGAGTACAAAATTCTGTTACTTGTGTTTAAATGTCTCCAAGGAACTGCACCAGAGTACTTATCTGAACTGTTAAAAAAGCGTGAAAACAAAGGCACTAGAGCAGATGACAAAAACCTTTTGGTTATTCCTAGGTTTAAGAAGGTTACCCAAGGTGGACGATGTTTTGGAAGATCTGGTCCAACACTATGGAACAATTTACCAGACAGCTTGAGACTTGAGACGAGTTTTAGCATTTTTAAAGACGTTTAAAAACGCACTTTTTTGAACTTTCTTATAAGTAAATTAGGTCTAGGTCACATTTTTAAACTTTTTAAACTTTTTTACTAGTAAATTAGGTTTTGTCCATATTTTTAATGTGGTATGAATGTAAAGCGCCTTAGAGAACTGTAGATTTGGCGCTATAGAAACTCTGTGTATTATTATTATTATTATTATTTTGGTTGGGAAGTTCATGGGAAGCAAGCATGGGAAGTTCCATGCAAAGATTAAACCTTTGATTGCACCATTTGAATAGCTATTGAGTATTGTAACACAGAATTATTTCGCACCTTTCTGAAAGGGTGGGTCAGAATTTTTCTGCACCAATTTAAGGGTGGGCTACAAATTCTCGTGCATGCAGCTATTAAGGGAGGGCAACCAAAAGTGCAGACACCAAATATATGATTTTCCTAGCCCCCCCTTTTTACTTTATGACCGGTCGCTTATCGTGGAAGATTTGGCACGAGGAAAAGTCCATTTCTGCCATGCCTGCTATATCTATATGCCATGCACTCTATAAGCACTCTGGCAGGTCAACATTACCTAATGTTAAAATTTCCTGGGTAATAATTATGACCAAGAATTCAGTTATATTTAATCAGGATGTTCTTCTTAAATTAACCAGATTATGTTAAGTCTGATCAGAGCACCCGATATGGTCATTAGTCTATATAGTAAGGAAAAGTGTATAAAATAATCAGGAAATTTAACCAGGAATATTAAGTTAACGCAAATAGGGTCATTTCTAGGTTAATTGAAGCAGGAACGTTTTGGCTACTTATCCGTTTCATGCGACGTACGTTCGTTTGCGAGATAACATACCGCGAATTCGTACTCTGATTTGGCATACGCTAACTGAATGTATATCACATGAATGTTTATCACATGAACGAATCGCGAATGAAGATAAGTGTAGGATATATTAGTTATTTAATTATATCTCATTGATTTGTTTGTCCATGTCATTATATATACATGTCATTATTGTTTACTGATCGTTTTTCTCTTTGTTGGAAATATAGAAGCATTTCCAGAAACAAGATAATTGTAATAGATGGGAATGCGTTTTCTTATTTAACATCTTTAAGAACCCTGTAAGTTAGTTTTTTTGTATATCTTTTGTATTATTATATAGATCACAAAGCTACTATCTCATATGAATGGTATCCGTAATTAATTTTATTCAATTTCTATTACTTCACAGGCGTTTATCTTCAAACTTTCTTGAACATATCCCAAGAAATCTTTTCCTTCAAACAAAATACCTGGAAGTGTTGTACGTTTTTATATTTATTTTCATTTGAAGTGTTTCGCATATTTTAGTTTATTGACAATAAAATTTGCACACTTTTAATTTTATGCTTTTATTGTTTTTATTTAGAGACTTAAGTATGAATAGAATTGCTGAGCTAGATACTGGTTTATTTCTTGGTTTAAAATATCTTCGATTGTTGTAAGTCCACAGAGTAAATAAAGTTCATTTGATTACTCACGGCTGGTGAGTGGGTACAATATTTGTTTATAAAAGAGGGAGTTTACAGTATTTTAATAAACTTTGTAACATGAAAATACATTGTCAAGCGAACAAGCTCCCGATTCGAACTTCATTTGTTATCAGTGTAATAGTTTTGATCTATGTGAGGCATAAGAAATATATTTAACACCTCATCAAATTCTGTTCATTCAATTGATTGATTGATTATGATCACGTGATATAGAATTGAAATTTCTATTTTGCTACCGTGCAATGGTACAAAAACTATTGCACGCTCAATCGTTCAAAAGTTTTTGTACTATTCAATGGTAGGGCTTAATTAAATTCAATCATTCAAAATCCTCTTCGTATCGTAATCGTAGCTCATTTAACTATAATTTATTAATTTTCATACTGAGACCGATGGAATTAAATTCAAATATATAACTGGTGCCCGACAAAATGGCGGGTGTAAAAATACAATATTTTACTTTAACTTTTACAAAGAAAAAAATTTTTCGAGCCAGCCTAATATATATTCATTAAAAAAAGGGTTTAAAGGGTTGACAAGCCAAACAAGTCACAAAATATTTCCCTATCCATGTCTACAAAAAAGCGAAGGGTCCAACTTTCACCAATGACTGCGTTTGAGACTCTTGAAATTCCTCCAGGTTTATGGGCCGGGTCTTAAAAAGTATGCTTTCAATATATACGCGTTAATTCTTAAAAATTTAATTCGGCCTGCTTTAATTTGTTTCCAGGAGCCTTCGTAAGAATCGGATCAAGTCGCTTAAAAATGGACTTTTTTCTGATCTTCACAACCTGGAATACTTGTAAGAATATTTTAATATATTCATTTTTCCTGCTGAATAAACGATTGACCAACTACATAATAGGGCAGCTTTGGTCGCAATTCAGGACGACTTTTGGCGACTTGAAGAAATTTGAGGAGAAATTGGTACCAACTTAGGCCGGTAATTTAGTCAGTGGAAATTAAAATATTTTCAAAGCTTTGTACGTGAGTTTTTTCAGAATTTTCATATAGGTTTAGCACCGTTTCCCGCGCCAAGATTTATATACGCCACGTGTAGACGTGGATTTTTGGATGTTTACAGGGACTTAGATCTGCACCCAAGACTATTCAATACTATCTCCATGCCCTATTGTTACATAATGTGCATGTTCATTTGGCATGCTAGCTCTCATTGACATCTCTCGTGCGATGTTTCACTTCTGTAATCGATTTCCGTTGCACTGAGCTTCGGGGCGCACCTGTTGCTCGTAAAAAAGGTCAGGATGGCGCCATATGGGCGAAAAGGTTGGCATATTGCACTTGGCATATCTTCGAAAGGAGTTTTTCTGTTTTTACTATGAGCATGTCATAAACTCCACCCTGAGAAGTTTCGGCAAATTCTCATTTCTGGAACAATTACTTATACCTTAAGGTTACTTCACATGATGAACGTGCGTTTTAGTCTACTGAAAATGGCGCGACGAATTTTAGGTGTAAGTTTACCAAATTTTTAGTGAAGAAAGCCAAGAAAATGCTGATTTCGAAAATCTTCATTTGATGGGTGTTCTGTATAAACCTGTCCAGTATTGGCTGACTAAAGAAATAGATATAGGTATCCCATAAAATATCAAAACATGTTTATAGTTTACCTCAACGTTTGTCCACATGTCTCCTTTTGAATCTTCATAGGTAGGCCTACAGTAAAAAAAAGTGTGCGGAAGGTTTATGAAAAAAAGGTTTTTCTGATATAACATTTTCTTTGACAACTTTGTGAATTATCAGTGACAAATCCAAGAATCAGGGCATATCAGAAAAACCACTAAAGAAGAGAAATTTTCCGCACACGTTTTTTTACCGTGCCTATGAAGATTAGGATTGCGGCATATATCTAGACAAATGTTGAGGTAAACTATATAAACATATTAATTTTGATTTTTTTTATGAAGGTACCTATATATTTATTCAGTCAGCCAACACTGAAAATGTTTAAACTGAACACCAATCAAAACAAAGTTTCGAAATCAGCATTATCCAGGCTTTCTTCACTGAAAATTTGGTAAGTTACACTTAAAATTCGTTGCGCGCAATGTTCAATAAACTAAAACGCATGCACGTTCATCGTGTGAAGTAACCTTAAACACGATGTTTGATATTTTTCCACAGGTATTTGGATAGTTGTGATTTATCTCTCATCGAAATAAATGTTTTTGATGGATGTTCTTTGCTCAAAGTCTTGTAAGTTTGAAATACTGTAGTGGGATTTTAGTCAAATGCAGCTACTGTATATGCTGCAAGCGTGTCGGCTACAATGTAACTCAGCGTTAGAAATTTTTTTTCTCGCTAGTTATATTCTTTAATTAAGGAACAAATTCGTGGTTGCCATATTTTTCAGGACTTTAAAAAACAATCAACTGGATATTGTTAGAACGTCGTGGTTAAAGAGGAAATCTTCTCTCAAGATATTGTAAGTTAATGATTGTTCAGTTTGAATTCATTTTAATCTGAAAATATCTAAGTCTTAGGGCATAAAAGTTAAGTTTATTCTACTATTTATTTTAGCGCACAAAGTCTCAAGTTTAAATAGTTTCTTTTTTTACAATAATTGTGATCAGGTTTAAAATGAGATTCCTTGAGAGCTAATGAGATTCGAAATATAGAATGAATTTTCATGGCTACTACCTCGATTGAAAACATTAAAGACTTTTCGAGCCAAAGTCCTTCGTAGTAACTTACTCGTTTCTCTATATTTTTTCCAGAAAATTTTAAATACAAGAAACCCGACATTTATACTGTACTTATCATATATTCGGCTGAGGGCACTATTTATACTATTTACTTCCGCCCAAAAACAAAATGTCTTCCAGTTTCGGTCCGGTTACAGACAAAGAAATTATTTTATCTAACGAAGCAGCAGTTTCGCGAAACAAAACAAGCCACAAATAGTTGGGTTTTATTTATCAGTGATAGTGGTATTCTTTAAAACTAATTCTAAATTATTACGCGTTTCTTTACAACCACTGTCGGAGCTGAAAAAATATATAGGCCTATTGTATTATGTTTTCTGGTGCTTTTGTCATTTTTGTTTTATTACGGTGTATGCTAAAACCAGTGGTGCCTAAATTACTTTGAATTTGTACTCGAGTAAAAGTAGAAGTAATTAACAATAAAACGACTTGAGTAAGAGTAAAAAGTACTGGAAGCAAAACGTACTTGTGTAAAAAGTACAGAGTATCCTTAAAAAATACTTGAAGTACAAAGTAAAAGTAAAAGTACTATTGTCTGTAGCATGTAGAGGGGGAGGGGAACTTCTCCAATGGATTGACATACAAAAGACACAAAACAAGCACACGCATTATATGCGTGCAACGAATATACAATATTTCACGGCATGGTTTACTTTCCAGTTTCCAGATCCCGTTGAAGATATAAGAAATCGAATCCATTAAATAAATTAAATAATACTTATAAGTAAGCCACAAAGGAGAGATCCCAGACGCATGTAGAGGTCGTATTACCAATCCCAAAATTAAAATAAGTCAGAAATGAATCACGTAAAATTAAACAAAAGTTAGAAAGTAAGGAAATACTTCGCCACAAAAAGAAAATAACGAAGTTAAACGTTACTTCTTAAAACGACTTCGTTCCAAGTAAAAGTACTCCAGAAAAAGTTTACTTTGTTACATGCTCACTTCTCAAAAATTGTACTTAAGTACAGTAACGAAGTACATTTACTTCGTTACTTGACACCACTGGCTAAAACTAGTCGTGTCTCGGTGAATATCCTTGCGCTATTCACATCCATAATTCCGGAGAATAATGTTAATTAGTCATAGTTGATTATAAAATCAACTTGATTTTTAGGCACACATCTACGCTCGATTAAGGGATATATAATAATAAACATTCTATTCTTCTCCCGAAGAGAATTGCAGAACAACCATATCCAGGAAATTGAAGCGGAAGCTTTCAGCGAATTGAAAAACTTGCTAGAGTTGTAAGTACGCGTCTTTAATGAGCTGCTGAAATTTAATAGTTTTAAATAAATATCCATCTTTGGCATAGAAATACAATGGATTTTCAATATAAATCCAGATATACGGTAGCTTCTCACTGCATATATTTTTTATTTTAGGGATATATCAAACAACCGCATTCAAAATATTCCTGAAAATTTATTTCAGAATCTTGAATCCCTGCGCACATTGTAAGTGAAAAATTATTTTTTTTGAATTGGGGTTAGTTCTTCAACAATTCTATGAATTTCTTCTCTGGAACAAGTTATGTTCAACTATAAAATAATTAAATTTGGACATGATCATACAATTAGAATAGCATAGAATAATTATGAAAGCGTTATATACTATGATGGATTACGTGCTGCTGTCATACAGCCATCCCATACAGCCGCTATCTGTGCCGCCTCATGATGCCATCTCACGAGCAGGCATCTGTGATCATCATTCTGAAACTGGTAAATCGATTAAAAAAATACTTTTCGCTCCTCTGAATTGAATTAGTTTTTAGACTACTTAGAGAATTATTATTATCATTATTATTATATCTGGTTTTATGAATCCGATAGTTAACGACCTGACCTTCTCCTAGTGACTGAAAACAGATGTCTATGTCAATAAAATTCTTTTGAAAATAATTATTGTATAATAAATATATAGTATCAATTCAAGTGCAAATTGATAAACTACCAGTAAAAGTGAATTTTATCATTGTAGTTGTATATATCTGAATAATCATTACATAAAGTTTACATTATTATTACGCATATTTGGACAGGATATGAAACACGTCAGCAATTAAAAAAGTGCTGTCATCAACGTGTTTCCTGTAATACAGTATAATAAAGACAGCATAAAAGCGACTATTGTCCGAAAAAAAATTTTTCCGGAAAAAATTTGAAAAGGGGTGGGTCATAATTTTCAGCACCAATTTATGGGTGGGCTACAAATTTTTGTGCAGCTATTAAGGGGTGGGCTATCAAAAGTGCAGACACCAAATATATGATTTTCCCACCCCACCCCTCTTTTACTTTATGACCGGTCCCTCAATGGTACACTGGATTAATTTCCACTGTTTCTTTTATAATATCCCAACTCCTCCTCGCCAGATCTTCCATTTTCCCTTGCTACTAGTAATTCTATTTTTTATATTTGTGTGTATTTATTTACGAAGAAACATTAAAATGAAAACAAACAAATTATTATAAAATACCGTTGTTTAAAATTCCACGTTGACCTTTAATTTTTATAGCATTTAAGATTAAGTAGGCCTCTTTCCAATTTTTGAAATTAAGTATGCGAGTTGAGCAATAATACAATATACATACCCCGTTAATATTACTGTTTTGTTAGAAAAGTGGACCACTTCACGCTGTGTTGTTATGCAAAGCAGGCCAACCCGAGCGTCTCTTGTGTCTCCAAAACGGCTGGAATTTCAAGTTGCGACGGGCTTCTAAAAAACACCGTGCTTAAATATTCGATTTGGATTCTCGGTCTGATGGCGTTTCTTGGAAATTTGATGGTTATAATATGGCGGTCAGTTTCAAAAGATGGTAACCGTGTAAGCTCGTTTCTTTTAGTCAATCTTGCTGTCGCTGATTTCATAATGGGTGTGTACATGTTGATTATCGCATATAAAGATAGAGAATGGGATGGGGTATATTTTAAACATGATGTATCCTGGCGTGCAGGTAATCTATGTATATTTGCTGGAGTGTTGTCAACCATATCCAGTGAGGTTTCAGTGTTAACTTTAACAGTAATCACATTTGAACGTTTGATATGCATCGTGTTCCAGTTTAAATTTCAACGCTGGACTATCAAGAAAGCTGCTGGAGTTATGTGCGTTGTTTGGATTCTCGGCTTATTCATTTCACTCATACCGCTATTCAGTGATTCGTATTTCTACGATTATCACAACAATGTTCACTTCTTCGGCAAGTCAGCGGTGTGTTTACCCTTTCAATTATCAACCGAGCGTCCGGCTGGCTGGGAGTATTCAGTTGTTGTATTCCTCGTACTTAATGGAGCTTCATTCTTGTTCATATTCGTGGCGTATGTGTTTATGTATCGTACGATTGTCAAGGCAGGCAATGCGGTAAGATCTACGAGAGCGAACCAGGATTCTGCAATCGCCAAACGAATGATGTTCATTATTCTAACGGACTTTTTATGTTGGTTTCCAGTGATCATCATAAGTGTCCTGGCTTTGACAGGAAATTTATACGACCCCTCTAAGCAGGTTTATGCTTGGATAGCTGTGTTTGTTTTGCCCGTCAATAGTAGTATCAACCCTCTTCTTTACACCTTTTCAACTTCTTATGTTCGAGAAAAGTTCAGATCTTTGAAAAAGGCAAATACGATTAAAGGTAATTTCTTATATCAATATAACCCCATCTGCTCATGTCGTTTGTGAACCCCTTAAATTGCAGTGCACCCCAATACACCATTCATACATTATTATTTTACTCTGTCTGACGCCAGACGGTTTTACTCATCAGGGGAGAACTCTGGGAAATGGCTGGCGCTCAACGCAAACTAACGGGCCATATATTATTATTGTAATCGATCTGTACGTGTAACGCCAGACGAATTTACTCGTCAAACTCATTTACTCAAACATCAGGCATTTTACTAGCTGGCGTTCAATTGGTTAGTATCTGTTTTACAGCTATCCTATATTTGTCATAGTTATGCAGGGTTTTTTATTTTGTGTTGTCTTTGCTGCAATAGCAGGCGTTATTGGTTTTCATTTTTTTTTCATTTGTCTTTGTCATATTTAGCTGAGTTCATATTTAGAAAACCGATTTTAAACTGTGACGGAAGATTTGTTTGATGGATTTTCGAAACCAAAGCAACGAAAACTCACCCGACGAACATATCTCAAAGAAAAATCTCAATCACGGTCTCTTTTGGATGTTGATTTCTTCGTCTGTTATGAATTTAAGACGACTATCTCGTCTAAGATACGACACTCCTCTAACGTTACTATCTCACCGCTCAGACGGTTGAGAGAAAAGCCATTTTTATAACAAACTTCTTGTCCGGCATCGACAGGTTTATAATATCGGTATTGTAATATGAATTCAGCAGGTGGATGTTCCTATATTTTTGTTGTTGTTGTTGTTGTTGTTGTTATTGTTGTTGTTGTTGTTGTTGTTGTTGTTGTTGTTGTTGTTGTTGTTGTTGTTGTTGTTGTTGTTGTTGTTGTTGTTGTTGTTGTTGTTGTTGTTGTTGTTGTTGTTGTTGTTGTTGTTGTTGTTGTTGTTGTTGTTGTTGTT